GGACTGTTATTTTTTTACAATTGATGTACAAATATTAGAGACATACATTGACATATATAATGTATGTAATTTGAGACAGGTTCTACCTGGTGAGTTCCCAAAGGTTATTGGTGCATTTTAGTTTTACTTACCATCACACTTTTTAGTAGCTGCAGAACCATTGCTCTTATGGTCCTTGTGATGTTCACAAGGGAAATTTTTTTTTTTAATGCTGTATGATCTCAAACAGGAGGCACGTCAGACAGTTTTTCAATTGATGAAAGTAAGCTTGATAACATCTTGTCACACATTGTGATGTCGCTGATAACTTTTACTCAGACATTGTTGATATTTAAGTTCTGCTCCTGTCCCAAAGCTGTGATACAAGAATTACTGAGCACCTGAACAGGGTGATATGAGCAAAGGGCAGGACAATTATGCAAGGTACTGTAAATTCAGAAATTATTGCGTGCATTTATTATTGCGTTTTTTGAAGAATTGACATAAATGCGAGATTAATAATTGCGATTTCTGGAAACTTTGCATACAGATATATGTATCGGATATCAGTATGCTAGTTCTTATTATTGCGATACTCACTCAGATGATTATTTGCAATAATAAAAACCTCGCAATAATTTCTGAATTTTTTACAGTATGGATCTGTTGAATAGTGGGTCAAATGATTTAATCTTACAACTGTTTGGGTTTTTCTTTAATAAACAGTTTATTGTCAAAGAAGTCAACTGTGGCATTACATGTACATGCATGTACCTGTTTTTTAGAAGTTTACTTTAGGTAAATTAGTTTATTATGTATTCTTCCCTGTGGTGGTTGTCCTTTTCACGATGTCAAAATCATTTTTTTTTTTTTTAGATTGGACAACAATAATTTTATTTAATAGATTTAAATGCATTGTAAGGAGAACACACAGAGATGAGATTTACAAAACAAAAAAATAAAAGAGGGAATTATGTTTGAAAGTCTCAATTGAGGCAAAACATCTTCAATTGTCAATAAACTTTATTTAAATGACTCACAAAAAAAAGTTTATAAGCTCCTTTCAGTATGTTCAAAGCTGAGACATTTTCACAGATGTGGTTAAATTTTCAGAGTACAAAGTGTGGTTAATTTTTCACAAAATGGAAAACACTGAAAGGCCCCTTTATTTGCAACTTCAGCAAGTAAAAATTCCCTATTTATATCTCACAGTTCTCTCTAATTCTTTACAAACATTTACTGTGACCTGATTGTAAGTGTTGTTTTTCACCTATTGCAGTCCATTCAAAATTCTGACCAAATTGCCATTTGTTTTATCATATCAAACTGTTCAACTGCACAGAAAATTTAACCATCTGCAGCAGGAATCCACATACTAGTCATGAAATCCAAAGTGATACTTACAATCCTATAAGATTTTAATTCCTCTTCATGTCTACAATGATAGAGTGGCCTATAATTTTGAAGTATATTATATTTATTGTACTAATTGGTCAATGAAAGGGTAAGGTAGTAATTCTTGAATTGCTAAAAATATGTCCTATTGAAGTTTTCTCTTCTAAATGTTGTGCATCTATGTATAAATAAAATAGAGAATGGAAACGGGTAATGTGTCAAAGAGACAAAAACCTGACCAAAGAGCAGAAAACAGCCCAAGGCTACCATTGGGTCTTCAACACAGCAAGAAAATCCTGCACCAAGAGGCGGGCTTCAGCTGGCCTCTAAACAAAAATGTGTACATGTACTACATGTAGTTCAGTGAAAATGGACGTCACACTAAAAAACATATGATAGAAACTAAAATTAAAAAAAACACCAAAATACATGCTTCAAAGATGTTTTCTTAGTAATACTTTTAACAATCAAATATATATGAATTTGTTGGAAATAGTTAAGTTTGCTCCTTTTTGATGTTATTATGAACAAATAATTGTGGGGAAATTATATGAAAAATCTATAAAAAAAGAAAACCAGAAAGAAGATTTATTGCCACCATATTGTTGGAGGTTTTTAAGGGTACATGTACATGTATATAGACAAAAAATGAACCTTCTACCATTTATTCTCTCTTCTTTTTTACAATACTTGTACAGTTATACAAATATTGTTGAAATTATACCAGTATAGTGGTTGCCAAGTTCAGGTGATTCAAAATAGGATTTAAAAAATATTATACTAGCATCCGAAGAAAAAAAAAAGTCAATATTTAAAACAAAAATTCTATTTTTCTGATAAATGTTCTTAGTTTTTCACACATTATTTGTCACTCAACATAACATTTGTACTCCGCCAGCAGCAATAGAAGGCGAGACACAGGGTTCCATGGAATCCTTTGTGATTTTTTTGTGTTGTCAAACTGAAATTTTCAGCCCCTACAAGATGATTCTTTCATATTTACATAAATATAAGAATTTTGGTATGGTTACCATTGAGACATATATCCACCAAAGACCTAAGGAGTAGGACGTTACAAATGTATGTACGGTACTTTTAACCGGACTAATCAGTGTTTTAATTCCATTCTCTGTTATATCATTCCATTCATGGAAGCCAAAGCAGACAATTAAAACAGTTCAGATGAGAAATATTTGGGTTACTGTACTATTGATTCATGAGAATAAGCTTGAACTCAACTTTTCAAAAAAGTAATGAGCCCCAGGACTCACCCTAAATACCCTAGTGAGAACCTTGCTTTGGTAAGAAGTGGACATGAGTCTCAAGGTTTACTTTGATTTAAACAAATTAAGGATACCCCAGTTATAATATTTACAACATACTCTATATGTCTTTCTTGGTTTTCTTGTGTAGTTGGGTCAATGTCTTGCAATATCTTGATGTACCAAATACTGATACAACAATACCAGCCGAGCTTTATGGTATTAATGACTTTTTTAGAAAGTATTAATGCTACTATTGATTCCTGGATGTCAGTGTGGTGTAGTATTGATCAATACACCAGAAATCTGTTGTTACCACTGCAGAGATCAATAACCTTAACATTTGGCAATTATGCATCATTTGATTGGTTGATTCTGTAACTTAGACATTGGAATCATTGATATTATTGAAAGACATTCTCTATATAATTCAAGGAGGAATCATGTCAAATTTTATTTCTTATATGTATTAAGTTTTTTGACAGCTTTGATGAACAACAAATATTTTGGCTTTTTTTTTCTCGTATTCATTGTTATAGCAGTAACACCTGACCAGTCAAGGGTGTAACTTGAATAAGTTATTAAAGAAAAATAACATACATGTGTTATTACGGATACTTTCTCTTAATCTGTAGTAACATATGTTTGTTATCAGTTAAATGTACCATAAATATTTTTATTTTCAGTGGGCATTTGGGAATTCTTGAAACTTGCGCAGTAACTTAATACATAACCTAGAAAAATAATTTTCCTATTCAATTAATACATTTTTGATCAACCATGGTAAATCAATGAGACAAGGCTTTTAAGTGATAACTTAGCTGTAATAACAAGGCTTAGTTATTACAGGCATTGAACTTATTACATGAGACACTTGGGAATGACTAGGAAGCTTGCGCAGAACCTCATTACATGCTCTTATCATTATGTATTACAATAAATTAAAATACATTGTGATATATGTAGGAGAAAAGGCTTTGAAAAGATGTAGAGAAGCTGTAATAACACCCATTAGTTATTACAGAAATATTTTTTCTGTAATAACATGGGTGTGTTATGCATGATTGGCAAACTATGGGCTGTTATATCTTTCTAAAGTTTAATATGCATAAAGACAATTATAATATCAATAGAACTAGTACACAATTTAACAAAATAAAGGATGTATAATGCCCCTTTGAAACATGTAACATACATATGTTATCACAGATTTTTGATTTTTTAGCCCTCAATAACAAATGTATGTTATTTTTCTCTAATAACTTATTTAAGTTATACCCTTGACTGCTGACAGGACCAGAATAATAATTTGTAAATAGAGACTTTACTTATTCTTTGAATAATAGAGTTCTTTTCTTCAATCCTCATTATTATAAACACTTTATAATCCATAAATATTTTCATAATAGATTTGATAAATAACTGCATTAATATTTTTACAAACATAAGTCTGGTAGACATATTTCAATTGATGTAGATTGATTATATGTGAAATACTTACCTGGTATCGAGAATTTTGGATACTAGTTTTTTAGCTTACCTGGCCAAAAGAGAACTATTAAAGATAAAGAGAAAGTTTAAAGGCAAAAATGATCAGCAATACAAGAGCTGCAAATATGTCGGTATATCCAAAATCACCAGTCTATGTCTGATCTTTACCCATTTTTTTTTAACTTTTAAGTTTAGGTCTAAAACTATAGTAGATAAAGAGAATTTGTAGATGGAAAAAATTATCAGCAATACATGTACAAGATCAACAAAAATAATATTTAACTCATGAATTATTTTCTTGTCGATTTATTGGAGAGTTTCCCTTCCTGACGATTCATATAGGCCCAGGTGGGTGACACAAGCTCTTTAAAACCTCTAGCATGTCTAGTTTTACTCTCAAAGACTAAAATTTTGAAATACAAAAAATCAAACTTTTTGAAACCAAAATTTAAAATATCTTTAAAACAGTTGCATTTTTTTTAGGGCACAAATTGTTTTTCCAAATAAAAATCACCTCTTATTAGAATTTATGGAAACTTTACCAGAATCATAACCAAATAATGCCATTGTGCATATATATATACTTTTAACATGATTTTTTTCCGCTAGGGAAATCATGGACTGTATAAGGGGATGATGGTATCATGTATGACCTTTGATTACTTCATGTATAGCTTCATTTTTGGTAGGATATCAGTTCATGTGGTGTAAATTGTCTTTTAGTTTTTGCAGGAGTTGTAGCTCCTCTATACCATATATTTAACCCTAGTTATGAGTGTTATTAAAAAATTTTAATATGTAATGTGGGCAAAGGGATAATTGGTTACAGTTAAACTTCATGTGTTGTATAACCTACATGTCTGTTTATTACAGGTGGATTTGCCTTTGTATACATTGCTCAAGACACTACAAGTGGAAAGGATTTTGCTCTCAAGGTAAACACTTCAGACGTGTATGTCCGATTAGATCTTGTCTTCTGACATCAAGATAAGTGGGGTCTCGGAGGCCATGTGGTTTAAGTACTTCATCTGCTGTATTGCTAGCCTGTCAACATTGACGTTGTGAGTTAGAACCCTGCATGTGGCAGATGCATTCGACTCCCAATTTTAATTGACTAGGATTGTCAGTTTTCATGCAGAAGGTCAGTGGTTCTCTCAAGGGAATCCAGCTCCCTTCACCAATTAAAACTGATTGCCAGGATATAGCCAGTAGTACTGAAAGTGGTGTCAAACACCAATAAACAATCAATCAAAATAAGTATCATGGCAGGTAGCACTAGTCATGTTGCATCATAGAAAGTACTTTACATTACCTTAGTATCACAATAGTGTTTCATGGAAAAAGAAAATTTAAGATATGAGATTTAAATATATTAATGAACCAGAATTATATACATTGTAGATGCAAAATATCAATTCTACCACTGAATCAATGGGACATAAAAATTAATTGTCATATTTAAAATTGGACTCCTTATGTTCCATGAACACTAGGTAGTGTTCTGGTAGGTGACATTGTAAAGCCATATTAACACTAGAATAATAGATCATGAGCCTTTGCATTCTTTCCAAAAAAAATAATTGAATTTCAGGAGTGTGCTTGGGTGTTCGAAGCTAATTTAAATACCATCATTTGCAAAAAAGATTATTGTGACATTAAGATATATTATTTATATTATTATACGACCGCAAAAAAAAATTGTGGTCATATATTGGTATGACGTTGGCGTCGTCGTCTGAAGACACATTGGTTTTCACACTCTAACTTTAGTTAAAGTGAATGGATCTCTATGAAATTTTACCATAAGGTTCAATACCACAAAAGGAAGGTTGGGATTGATTTTGGGGGTTATGGTACCAACAGTTAAGGAATTAGGGGCCAAAAATAAGCATTTTTGTAACTTCCAGACATAACTTGTGTGTTAGTGTATGGATCTCTCTGACATTGTACCACACAGTTCCATATCACAAAGGGAATGCTGGGATTGATTTTGGGGGTAATTGCCTCCAAATTTTAGGAATTAGGGGCCAAAAAAGGGGCAAAAAACGAGCATTTTTCTAGTTTCATGACAATTACTTGTGTGTAAGTGTATGGATCTTTATGAAATTGTACTACAAGGTTCCATATCACAAAGGGAAAGCTGGAATTGAGTTTGGGGGTAATTGCCCAAAACGTTTAGGGATAAGGGGCCAAAAAGGGGAAAAAAATAAGCATTTTTCTAGTTTCCAGACTATAACTTGTGTTCAAGTGTATGGATCTCTCTGAAATTGTACTGCAAGGTACCATACCACAAAGGGAAGGCTGGGATTGATTTTGGGGGTAATTGCCTCAAAATTTTAGGAATAAGGGGCCAAAAAGGGGCAAAAAAACAAGCATTTTTCTAGTTTCAGGACAATAACTTGTGTGTAAGTGTATGGATCTTTATGAAATTGTACTACAAGGTTCCATATCACAAAGGGAAAGCTGGGTTTGAGTTTGGGGTAATTGCCCTAAACGTTTAGGAATTTGGGGCCAAAAAACAAGCATTTTTCTAGTTTCCAGACAATAACTTGTGTTCAAGTGTATGGATCTCTCTGAAATTGTACTGCAAGGTACCATACCACAAAGGGAAGGCTGGGATTGAGTTTGGGGATGATGAATCATAAGGGGGTTCAAAAAATTGGGGGGGGGGGATTTTTTTTTCCTTTTTTCTCTTTAAAATTTTCCATTTTAAATTTGTTATTTCTGATTTATATATAAAAGCAAATAATAATGATATGGTTTGAATAGGTAAATTAAATTGTTTTAAGTTCTTAGACCACATTCATTCTGTGTCAGAAACCTATGCTGTGTCAATTATTTAATTACAATCCAAATTCAGTGCTGTATCAAGCTTGAATGTTGTGTCCATACTTGCCCCAACTGTTCAGGGTTCAACCTCTGTGGTCGTATCAAGCTGCGCCCAGCGGAGCATTTTATTTTGAATATGTTTTCAGAGGTTATTAGCCAACGATGAAGAAAAGAACAAAGCAGTGTTGGAAGAGATTAGGTTCATGGTATCCATTACTATACATGTTATAGATAGAATTGATTATCCTGGTAGTACAGGAAGAATACATACTCATTGGTTAGATGTCATGTTTCATATAATTGGCTTCTTGAGTATGTCTGTCAAAAGCTTTTAGTTAAGACTGCAAAGGTTTCTGGCTAGGGACAAGAAAATAACCAAGTAATAAGGTTCAATTAACCTGTAGTAGAATTTTTGAAAATTAGATATACTAGAATAAGTCATAACATTAAAAAAACTAAATTTTCCATTTATCATAAAATTTGAAATGTATTTGTACCAAGATTATGTATATATTATTTATGGTTCCTTAACCACTGCCTAGAAAAAGTTAACAGGTCACAGTAACATTGTACAGTTCATAGCAGCTGCATCTATTGGTAAGGAGGAATCAGGACATGGGCAGGCTGAATATCTCTTATTGATGGAACTATGTAGTGGTAAGTCCACTACATTAACTTTACTTTAAGAAATTCACTGACCATATAAAAAACTAGGTTTTCAGATTGATTTTAGGATTATCTGACCTTCACATTTCATGGTACATTGATCAATATAATTTTCATTGATATCAACAGATTTTCATTTATCAAAATTTATAAGCTATAATTTTGTTGTATAAAATCATAAGAAGTATACAGGTCTAACTGACAAGATTCATCTGACCTTGACCTCAATTTCATAGACTATTGATAATTTTAAGTTTGCGTCATACCTGGAGTAAAACCTTAACCTCTAAGACTTTCAACATAAAATACAATCATAATCTGTGAATCAGGCAAGACATTCCAGCGTGTCCACTCTTGTGTTTTCATAAGACTAAATCATAAGCTGAATAAAAGATTACCCTATAATGACTTTCTTTATTGAACATTAATTCAATTTATTTTATGTTTTTGCAGATCTACTGGTATACATAATTTCTCTTAATGGATTTTACAATAATGCATAAAATTGGAAAAGGAGAGAAGAAAAAATAAAACATTAAAAAAAAAACAAGTCCTACTGAACAATTATTCATTAAAAATTTGATTATAAATATTATGTGATAATTTTACAGGTGGTCAGTTAGTAGATATTATAAATAGAAGACCTGGTCCTTTACCATGTGACCAGGTGTTGTTATCATTCTATCAAACATGTCGAGCAGTCCAACACATGCATAGACAGAACCCACCTATAGTCCACAGAGATCTTAAGGTGAGATTACACTAGATTTTATTAATTATTTTCTGGTAAGATATATATACATGTACTGTAAGAAAATTGTAATCCTGAAATATCTGAATAGGCTTTACACACAAAATTCATATTTCTTACACTTACATTTTTAGAAGATACTGAGAGAACCAACAAAAAGCTTACGAAGATATTATGGTAGAATAGAGCACATTCATAGAGCACCACAATCTCAGTAAATCAAGTAACGTGTTTAAGCCTTAATAATTAGAAATCCTTGATGTAAATTCTTCAGAATTGATGAAATTTATTTGATTTATGATTTTTTCTTGTCTTCTAAATCTGTGATAACTGGAAAGATATAATTTGAAATCTACTTCATGGCAAACTTTGAGTTTTGTACATAATGAATTGTTTTGTTTCAGGTAGAGAATCTGCTTTTGAGTTCCCAAGGATCAATAAAACTATGTGATTTTGGTAGTGCTACAACAAAGACCCATTATCCTGATTCTGGCTGGTCTGCTATACAGAGGAGTCTTGTAGAAGATGAGGTAACAATTATAATGATATTATTTCATGAACAAAACATTAGGAATATGATTTTTGAATTTTGTTTCAACTTTGCCATATAAGGGGAGATAACTTGGATAATGTAACTTTATAAAAGAATGTGTTAGGGCTATTCCATTAAAATGTATGTGGGAGGGTAGGAAGGGAAGTTTAATTATTGAATGTGGGTCATGGGTCTTTTTACAGTATGCGTCTATTACCATTATGCAAAATTATCTAAAAAAATGGTTCTTGGTTGTAGGGATATTTTCAAAGTCCCTTCCTACCCTCCCACATACACTTTAATGAAATAGCCCTTATCAATTTACCTACTTTGTTTTGTAGTAAGAAGACTAGCCCCATGACCCTTATTTTTATTTTCTTTAAGCACATTATTAGAGCTTTCTTCTCATATTTTATCTTAATATTCTATTGTTTAGTTTTCTTTTTATCACAAAAAATTTGTTTTTCATGTATAATCTATAAGAAATCTGACAATTTAGCACAACCTGTAGCTTGATTAAAAAGCCCAGTGACCAATACTTTTTATAATATTGGTAGGTGCATTATTCTCCAATCTTTATTGACAAGGATTGTCAGTTTTTCTACCAAAGGTTGGTGGTTCTCTCCGGGCACTCCAGCTTCCTCCACCAATAAAAACTGACTGCCACAAAATAGCGCAATAGTGCTGAAAGTGCCATTAAACACCAGTCAATCAATCAATCAATAAAACCAGCAAACCAAAATACAGCTTGATTTTCTATTATACAGAAATGAATCATCTTTTTATTTTTATACGACCGCAAAAAAATTTTTGTGGTCGTATATTGGAATGACGTTGGCGTCGTCGTCATCCGAAGACACATTAGTTTTTCGCACTCTAACTTTAGTTTAAGTGAATGGATCTCAATGAAATTTTACCATAAGGTTCAATACCACAAAAGGAAGGTGGGGATTGATTTTGGGGGTTATGGTACCCACAGTTAAGGAATTAGGGGCCAAAAATAAGCATTTTTGTAACTTCCAGACATAACTTGTGTGTAAGTGTATGGATCTCTCTGACATTGTACCACAAGGTTCCATATCACAAAGGGAATGCTGGGATTGATTTTGGGGGTAATTGCCTCCTAGTTTTAGGAATTAGGGGCAAAAAAGGGGAAAAAAACAAGCATTTTTCTAGTTTCATGACAATAACTTGTGTGTAAGTGTATGGATCTCTCTGACATTGTATCACAAGGTTCCATATCACAAAGGGAATGCTGGGATTGATTTTGGGGGTAATTGCCACCAAATTTTAGGAATTAGGGGCCAAAAAGGGGCAAAAAACAAGCATTTTTCTAGTTTCATGACAATAACTTGTGTGTAAGTGTATGGATCTTTATGAAATTGTACTAGAAGGTTCCATATCACAAAGGGAAAGCTGGAATTGAGTTTGGGGGTAATTGTCCAAAAAGTTTAGGAATAAGGGGCCAAAAAGGGGCCTAAAATAAGCATTTTTCTAGTTTCCAGACAATAACTTGCGTTCAAATGTATGGATCTCTCTGAAATTGTACTGCAAGGTACCATACTACAAAGGGAAGGCTGGGATTGATTTTGGGGGTAATTCCCTCAAAACTTTAGTAATTAGGGGCCATAAAAGGGCAAAAAAACTAGCATTTTTCTAGTTTCCAGACAATAACTTGTGTTCAAGTGTATGGATCTCTCTGAAATTGTACTGCAAGGTACCATACCACAAAGGGAAAGCTGGGATTGAGTTTGGGGGTGATGAATCATAAGGGGGTTGAAAAAATTGGGGGGGGGGGGGTTTCATTTTTTTTCTTTTAAATTTTCCATTTTAAATTGGTTATTTCTGATTTATACAGTACTACCTGTGACATTATCTTACTAATGGTGGCCATAAAAAATATGGTCACCATGATGGCCCTTAATGTCCATCATTGTACCTCCTGTTGCTTAATTAATACACAAGGTATTAATCAAAAACTAGTCAAGGATAAAGGGAAATCATGACTGCATTGAAGTGTTAAAATTATATAACTTGCAGGTAAAGTGTCTCAGGTAAAATATATGTGTTTGTCAAATTTAATAGCTGTGATTATGACAAGAAAATTCTAAAATAAAATAAATAATAAAACTAGTTGAACATATAGCTTCCTAACTTTTTTTTGTAAAATTTTTCTCATGACTGTTTGTTTTGAAATTATACCATGTATACCTTTTAAATAATTCTCTCAATTTAAGTTATTTGTTACATGTATTTTTTGGCAAGTGAATAATAAATGAATATCATCTTCTAATATAATGCAAACTTTCACATCGCCTGCCTTTTTCTATTGAAAAGGTGTTTCTCAAATTAATTTTCTAAAATCAAAATTGTTTATACTTACTGCATTCAACATTGTTTAACAAATGTTTAAGATTATCTTTAGGACTTATTCTAAATAAAATTTAGGCAATTCATTATTTCTCTATTGAATAAATACATGTATATATTCAAAATATTCATTACAGAAAAATTTGATAATATTTTTATTTTCATATAAACATTTTACAATTTAATCAAGTTTACGACAAAAAAAACAAAAACAAACATTATAATGCAAAGAAATAACAATTCTATAAGAAATCAAAACACATGGACAAAAATTATTAGGTTTCTGCCCTCAGTTCTAATGACTTTTTTTTTATAAAGGAGTTAATATTTTAAACATGTTCCATGTTATAGAGGTTTAGGATTTTTTTTACTTTTTGTTCTTGGTTAAAATTTCATTCATAAGATTCAAGATGTTATTCATAAACTGGTCAGAGACATTATAATGAGAAGGTAAACAATTTTCAAATTGATTATCTCTAAGCTGTTGTGTTTATTTTACAAACAATTCTATCCTTTATAGGAATTTTTACCCACCATCTTCTATTTCTAAATAATGACCACTAATTCTTTACTTAGTGAAGCATTTGAGTTTACTGTTTTCATCATAAGTTTTTATTTTATTTTCAAAAATATTTTAATTTTTTTTCTTAAATTTCATTTTTAATCAAGGGCTTTAAAGAATCTAATTCATTCAAGTCCCTGCAGTTATTAACTTTATCTAAAAGGCCTGAGTTGAGTGAAATATTTTTTGCAAATGTATACCAAGAATAAGTATCATGCATATGCCAGTCCTGCACTTTCCGACAATATAATACACAGAACAAAACGTAATTTAATTAATGGGCCATAAAAATGTCACAATCTATATGGAAGTGTACTTTATTTTTTTCTGGAGACAAATTTTGCCTGTTAACTGATAAAATTAGCTAAACTGAAGATAACATACTTGATAAGTTTACAATTGTTTCAACAGAGACATATATATGTGTATATATGTCTCTGGTTTCAAAAAGCAAGACAATTTTTTCTTTAAATACAATTTCTTTTCAAAGATTTACTTTATTCAGAGATAAGAACATTTTTCATTATGATTAGCATTTATCAAAATTTGATATTAACTAGGTAGCCATTTGGGAAATTTAAGTCTCTTTAGTGGTTCTTCATGCACAACTCCAGTTTGAGATTTGAAAAATATAAAAGATAAACAAAAATAGTTTATTCCTATACCATATAATGATATCTGTAGTTTTCCTGAATAATAATCATGATATTAGATATTAGATTATACAACTTTGTTAACAAAATTTATTGTAAAAGGATTGATATTCATGATATTGATAATTTTAATTTGTTAAGAAACAGGCTTGTTAAATTACTTGCTTCATGGTTCCTTTAAACATATCATTTTCATGATTATAAGTTATAACTAATAATAATTCATATTATAATGCAAACAAACAATAGAATTCCATGCACATCATGTACAATAACTTTTTTTTACTGAAAAAAATAATTATTTAAAGGATTCTCTGTTTTGTTTTCAAATGCTAGTCAATAACTTATCTTTGAATTTTTGTCATTTTTACTCAAGATTCTTTGCAAGAAGAAATTAAAAGAATAAGAAGCAAAAAAACAAATAAAAAATAAAAAATAACATGAAAAAATAAAAAAATAAAAACATAAGAAAAAAAAAGAAAAAATGTAAATTTAGACAGAAAAATCAACAAATGATATGAATTAAGTTTAATTAACAAAGACTAAAGCAACATTCTATTCTACATTTTCAAGAAAAGGTGAAATGTCAATTTGAGAAGAAACCTGAGCTACCTGTACAGGTAAATTTTAAAGAAACATACAAGCTGAAAACTTCAATGCTGATTGATTTCAACAGGTAACATAATTAGATAAAACATCAACCTATGTTTTATGACCCCAATAAATGGCCAACATCTCAAGATTGAATACCCCAATAAATGGCCACCATTCGATGGTGACCATACAAGAGGGTGGACATAATTAAGAGGAAGTCACAGGTTGTACTGTATATAAAAGCAAATAATAATGATATTGTTTGAATAGGTAAATTAAAAATTTTTAAGTTCTTAGACCACTTTCATTCTGTGTGAGATTTTGTCAAATATTTAATTACAATCCAAATTCAGTGCTATATCAAGCTTGAATGTTGTGTCCATACTTGCCCCAATTGTTCAGGGTTCAACCTCTGCGGTCGTATCAAGCTGCGCCCCAGCGGATCATTTTTTTACAGTTATATTAATGATAAGAAAATTCAAAATTCTATTTTTTTTTTTTTTAGATTACAAGAAACACTACACCTATGTACAGATCTCCAGAAATGTTAGACTTATACATGAATTATCCTATTTGTGAAGGTCTGGATATATGGGTAAGTTCATTGAAATTTAAATCTATTTATTCATTTAATTTGTACATACTGGAAAATCTTTGAGATCATCTGAGAAGAAAATATTATAAGATTTAAAAAAAAAATGCAACTAACATTACAGTAATCTATGATAAAACAGTTAAGATTTCACAGGTTTCTGATTGATGCAAAGTTTGGTTTAGACAAGTTTCACAGTATAGTAAAAAAAAGGGAGATAAAAGGAAATTGGAGCTACATGTGTCCTTCAATTTTTAAAGGCAGTGCTTTAATGCCTTTCTAGTTGCCGTGTTAATATTTCTTTCCGCGATATCCAACTTATCTACGTGGGGGGTCATTAGGCTCCAAGTAGATCCGGAAAATGTTGATTCTCTCCTCTTCTTATTGTGGTATCAAATGTTTTTTGTCTCATTTCATTTACATTGGGAAATAGAGAAACGATCATTGTGTTTTGTTAGTTTTAAAAACTTTTGATATATTTGTATTTTACATTATAAGCAGTCAACCGATTGACAAACTAGAATTATTTGAATTCCGTGTGGAAAGAGGTCGGGTTAATTTCGAGTGTTATCTGCAATCTAGATGTTTATAAATCATTTCAGTCGTTGATATAATAATTAAAGGTCGACTGAACATGAATTATATTATACAATTTAAAGCGCATTTCTGTTTATGCACGCGAACCCGTCTAACGTTATTATTATTTCGCAGTTATATAAAGTAGCAAATTATCGTTCCTGAATAGGTGGCGCCGTGGTAGCCGATCCTGTACTTCAACTTCCGGTTTCTGCACTGTGCAACTATTACAGTTGCATTTTTAATTAACGATGCCAAGTACTTGTTGTTGTGTACCTGGGTGTCATTTAAGAGGAGGACATGCATTTCCAAATGACTTAAAAAGAAGGAAAAGTTGGATCAACGCCATGGCCCATACGCAGATTGGACGAGAACACGATGAAATCGTGGAGTCCATCTCAATCAGCTGTTGTTTGCAAGGCACATTTTACTGAAAAAGACTACGTGCAGGAAACTATTCATGGTAAAACTCTATTTTCTTTTTAAAATATATAATTATATATGTTATCGCCATGCGAATAAAACAAAGTCTGTTTACAACCGCAATTATCGTTTTAGAATAAAAGGGGGTGGTTAATTCAAGACGTCATAATTTTTTGGATTACGATTCAATGTGATCTGTTTGAGATTTTTTGGTGCTTGCTACAATTATAATGATTTCTTACAAGAGGTATATCATACTGAGAATTATTTTAGCAGTAATTATGCTAATGTAGTAATGACAGGAATGCATAAGCTATGCCTCTTAGACTTTCTTGAAAAATATCAATGACAATGTTAACAGGAACAAAACAATGACATGCTCTCATCTATATTATAGTTATGTAGGTACAAACAATGTATGTTTGTTGCATACGTCTCTCATTGTTTGTCCTTTGGATTTACATAACATACATTTTGATGTACATTGAATCAGGCTAACATAGTTTTATCCAGATTGTAATGAATAAATCTAGTTAATATTTTGCCAGGTAGTACAAAGGGATTATAGTTATCTCGTACCATTGTAAACTCGTACCAATGTCAACTCGTACCACTAAACAAAAACTCGTACCACTGCTAACTCGTACCACGGTAAATTCATACCATTGTAAACTCGTACCAACTTATTTAAATGCATTCAAATGGTGTTTAATGATGAATATATACTTTAATTTCACTCAATACCTCTTAAGTCTGTAAAATGTATATAATTTGAAATTACAATAACCAATTTGTAGCTTATTTTCCTTGTCTAATTGGATAGAGAAAACCGTGGCAGATTGGCTTTGTTGTCTCCCTTGAATAGACTCTTTTTTAAACTTTTACTGACAACTATTTGATATAATTTTTAATCATTCCAAATCAGTAACATTGAATAGATTTGGGTATTTTTCTATTGTTTCTAAAAGGAATTTTATTTAATGAAAGAATTTATTGATTGTGTTTTAAAGGTTTAAAATTGTTTATGACCAACAGTTAGAAAGTATGAAATTTATTTTTATACAATATTCAGCACATTTCAGCAGAATATGACCATGATTATACAAGTTGATTAGTTAAAGATAAAAAAAAACAAGTTGATTAGTTAATAATCAACCAATAATCACACAATCAAAGGAATTTAATATATTTATTAGCATGGTAATTAAGAAATTACATTCGTATTTTTGTCTAAGTTTTCATTAAAATCTGGTATAAATTTCAAAGATATTTTAATTTTTTGTATAAAGCTTAAAAAAAAAATAATCATAAAACATTCGTATTTTTGTCTAAGTTTTCATTAAAATCTAGTATAAAATTCAAGTAATTCAACTTTTTTTATTTAGTTTACCAAAAAAAAAATCATAAAACATTCGTATTTTTTGAATATATTTTTAATGGTACGAGTTTGCAGTGGTACGAGTTCTGATTGGTACGACTTCCCAGTGGTACAAGTTTACGTTGGTACGAGTTAACTTTTTTGGTACGAGTTTACGTGGTACGAGTTTACAATGGTACGAGTTAACTTGCTTCCGTACAAAGTATGCATTGCTAATGGAAGTTCAAGTAATTATCAAAAAACTAATGTTTTATAACCTTTTTCAGGGCACAAACCCACTATACAGAGACTTAAGTCTACTGCCAATCCCAGCCTATTTTCCTGGACCAAGCAAGAGACTGAATCGTCCGCAAAAAGAAAAATCAGGGCAGTTTCCTGTGAAAACAAAAGAACTAAACTTGATGAATATTGTAGTAGAAATCTAGAGGAAAGTTTTGATTGTAAAGTTGGTTTTCCTGAAGAAGTAATTCATACTGCAGACAGGATTTATGACTGTCCACCACCAACTGCCGAGCTAATGTTGAGCTTCACAGATGGAATTACGCAAACACCATCAATGCCTATATTTTCAGCAGAGAATTTTGAAATGAAGACACGTGACACAGCCATGCATTTTTACACCGGTTTAGAGTTGTATACTAAATTTTTATTTGTTTTGACCACACTTGGTCCAACAGCACATTGTTTGAGATACATATATATTCAAATTGATAGGGTGTCATTTGAAAATCAGTTTTTTTATGACTTTGATGAAATTGATGCATTATACAACCAACTTTGAACTGTCTAGATTCTAGATTGAAACTAGTGTTAAGAATATTGTGTAAACATGGATTGTTTTTATGTCTAAACAGTGGCGTGAGGCTAACACTTGGCCATTTAGTGGTTTAGTCAGGTATTTTTCGCCATCCAACTTCAAATTAAAGTTTCCTACAACTTGGATTATTATTGACAGCACAGAATATCCCGTGATAAAACCTAAAGCTCCTAGAGCTCAGGCAACCTTTTCATCATATAAAAACAGAAACACTGAAAATACTTGTATGTTCGACACCCGGATGGTTTAGTCAACTATGTCTCTAATGCATATGTTGGTTGTACCAGTGACTGTGAAATAGTTGAAAGATGTAGAATAGTTCAGTTATGTGATCCAGGTGACAGTGTGATGGCAGACAAAGGTTTAAATGTGCAAGATTTGTTTGCTCACTTTTTTCAAAAAAAGAAACGGAATTAGTTCCAAAACTCTTATACGGGATAGAAAAGTCTCCAATTATCACATGCACATAGAGCTAATTATTGGACTTGGCAAAACATACAAAATTCTTATAAATCCTATGAATGGAACTGAAACAAAACTTTCATCTGAAATAACATTTAGTTGTTTTATGTTGTGTAATTTTAGAACTTGTATTGTGCCAAAGGATGCATAAATAAAAGTGACGCAATGAAGTTTGTTCTGATATATATATATAAATATTATTTACAATTACATGCACATGTAAATTGTAATGCATATAAAAATAAGGAGATGTGGTATGATATTCAGTGAGTTTATCGAACCAAAGTGCATAAGAAATGGGTTAAGCAGTTACAGGTGTTACTGTCACCATACAATCTCCAACAATTAGAAAAACTTGTACCGTGTAAAAAATTTCAGAGATCTTACAACTAAGTTTTGTTGTCTCACCTTGACTTTGGTGAATTGTTTATATCTGTTGATGTAAATATAAAAAAGAAGATGTGGTATGATTGCCAATGAGACAACTCTCCACAAGAGACCAAATGACACAGAAATTAACAGCTATAGGTCACAGTACGGCCTTCAACAATGAGCAAAGCACATACCGCACAGTGAGCTATAAAAGGCCCCGAAATGACAATGTAAAACAATTCAAACAAGAAAACTAACGGCCTAATTTATGTACAAAAAATGAATGAATAACAAATAAGCAACACATAAACAAACGACAACCACTGAATTACAGGCTCCTGACTTGGGACAGGCACATACATGTACATGCAGAATGTGGCGGGGTTAAACATGTTCACGGGATCCCAACCCACCCCCTAACCTGGGACAGTGGTGTAACAGTACAATATAAGAGCGAACTATAAAAATCAGTTGAAAGAGGCTTAACTCATCAGATGGATAAATACAAATACTAGTGGACGTGGCCGGGTAGTTGTACATCCAAACAACAAAAAGACACTAAGTACAGATCTGAGAGTACTCGCATTTACTGACAGCTAGTTCATGGAGTTCAAAGCCACAAACAACTGACAAAAAAATCTTGCATCTAAGACTAAATTATCAATCCGTAAACTCCCTTTAGAATTTTATAAATTTTAGATTTTACATTTCTGAGTTATGGGGTTTTATTCATTAAAAAAGGGGGGATTTTCCAGTTTTTGGACAACAACTCAAAAATGCTTTAAGCAGTTCGCATGAAACTTCGGTGAATTATTTATAGCTATTGATGTAATCTCCCTATTGATTCTCATAAATTTATAATATGACATTGAGAAGAAATTGAACTTTATTTGTTTATAGTCTGGCAACAGATTTATTAAGTATTGCGCAACAGCACAGTGTATTGCACAACAGCAAGAAATCTTTAATTGAATATCAATTCAATTCATATAACCGATTTCAAGTTCTTTGACTACATTTATTCAGAAACTATAATATGTCAAATATTTAATTACAATCCAAATTCAGACCGGTATCAAGCTTGAATATTGTGTCCATCTTTGCCCCAACTGTTCAGGGTTGGACCTCTGTGGGTGTATCCAGCTGCGCTCAGCGAATCAGTTTATTACTTAATTAAGAACTCCTTTTTGTCGAGCCTGCGACTTTTGTCGCAGAAAGCTCGACATAGGGATAGTGATCCGGCGGCGGCGTTAGCTAACTTCTTAAAAGCTTTATATTTTAGAAGGTGGAAGGTCTGGATGCTTCATACTTTGTATATGGATGCCTCATGTTACAAAGTTTCCGTCAGTCACATGTCCAATGTCCTTGACCTCATTTTCATGGTTCAGTGACTACTTGAAAAAAAAGTTAAGATTTTTTGTAATGTTTAATTCTCTCTTATTATAAGTAATAGGATAACTATATTTGGTATGTGCATACCTTGCAAGGTCCTCATGCCCGTCAGACAGTTTTCACTTGACCTCGACCTCATTTCATGGATCAGTGAACAAGGTTAAGTTTTGGTGGTCAAGTCCATATCTCAGATACTATAAGCAATAGGTCTAGTATATTCGGTGTATGGAAGGACTGTAAGGTGTACATGTCCAACTGGCAGGTGTCATCTGATCTTGACCTCATTTTCATGGTTCAGTGGTTTTAGTCAAGTTTTTGTGTTTTGGTCTTTTTACTTATACTGTATGCAATAGGTCTACTATATTTGGTGTATGGAATGATTGTAAGGTGTACATGTCTAGCTGGCAGGTGTCATCTGACCTTGACCTCATTTTCACGGTTCAGTGGTCAAAGTTGAGTTTTTGAGTTTTGGTCTTTTTTTCTAATACTATATGCAATAGTTCAACTATATTTGGAAATATTTTATGATCTATATGTCAGTCACACAGGTTTTTTTTTACCTTGACCTCATTTTCAAGGTTCATTGCTCAGTTTTAAGTTTTTGTGTTTTGGTCTATTTTTCTTAAACTATAAGCAATAGGTCAACTATATTTGTTGTATGGAAGAATTGTTAGCTGTACATGCCTGCCTAGCATGGTTCATCTGACCTTGACCTCATTTTCTTGGTTCATTGGTCAATGTTTAGTTTACTTGGTTAATGTTAAGTTTATGTGACAGTTGTAATAAAGTTTTATATTTAGGACTATCAACATAATATCAATGATTAGTAAAGAAGGCGAGACATTTCAGCGTGTGCACTCTTGTTTCATTCATAAATTACTTTATACTTGGAAATATAATTTTGCTTGGAGTTATAGTTTCTAAAAAAAGTATTGTCATTGAATGAGTTGACATGTTGCAATGTACATTTATTCTACATAGTTCTATGGTACCAAATCAAAAGTTTATATTAAAGAAAGAAGTCAAAGGTTTCCCATCATAGTTTAGTTACATACATTTTTTTTGTACCTGAGGTCGTTGAATATAGATCATTATATAAATAAGGAGATGTGTTATGATTGCCAATGAAACAACTATCATCCATACATTGTACTTACCAGTAACAAACCACATTTGCTAAGTTGAATAAAATACAGTTGATAACATTTACTTATTACTAAAAAGAAAATGCCAAACTATTTTAAACAGTATTTGACTATAAACATAGATAAAAGAGGTACAAACTGGACATAATGCACTAGTTCATAAACAAGTGAGAACTATCGCCTTCATATGGTGCTCAGAATATGACATTCATAAAACTTGTTCAATATCATTAGAGAACTCTAAATCTTAAATACTGAAAGCCACCTCTGATAAGTACAATGTACTATGCAAGATAATGATATAACTGGACTAAAAATACACACAACCTGTAATTAACTGCCTTTACAGCGCTTTCGCGCTTTGATTCTCTGACCATATGCATATTTGAAAATAATATTTAATGTGGGTGTCTTTTTTTCAGTCTATTACATTCAAAATCTGTCTCATTGTATTGGTTTAGTAAATTAGTATAAAGTATGATACACACACATTCTAGGCTGGATATCATAACGATGATTGGACATCAAGCCACTGTCAATCATATTTTTATAATAAAATTTATCATTTTATTTTCAAATGTAAATTATTTGTAATGTAAATAATGTCTCTTGAGATAGTCAGATGGAAAGAAACATAAATTGGTTTGAGCATATTTTATTTTCAAAATCATAGCAAATTGAATAAGACACAAAATGAATGATCTATCAAACTTATAATATCTTTTCCATATATTAAGTATATTATATATATTTTATAGCAGGCAAATAATTTCCTACAATCTGACACATTATAATATCATGAATATTAAAGCATTTAAATTGGGAAAAAAATTAAAGAAAAGAGTAAGATGAGAAAGTAATGTATTAGTGAGTTTGTGTGCATGTGGTCATTTGGTACTTCTCTAAATGTTGGTCAGTGGCACAAAATTAGAAACCTCCTTTTTTCTTCAAATGTAATCAAAAACTTTCTTAATATTTCTTCAAAAGAAAAGTATTTATAGGCTATTACAAAAATTTTAAGTTCAGGTTTTATTTTTCGATAGTGATCCTACTTTATGTATGGATAAATCTTAATTATTCCATTGTTGAATAGCTAATGTGATAAAAGAGTTCCTGATTGATGAGAGTTTGCAAAAAGGTCAAAAATATCGTCACCATTTCTCAGGGTATAACAGAAGTATGTATTGACGGTGATATTTAATCATAAAGGTAGTGAGGAGCAATTTCATTTGATTAATAATATGTAAGAATGTACAGGTTACTGTTACTTTACCAACATAACTATCTTTTCTTCCAGGCACTTGGTTGTGTCTTGTATCTTCTATGTTTTAATGTACATCCATTTGAAGACTCAGCTAAGCTTAGAATCATCAATGGAAACTATACCATCCCAGATACAGACAGAGAGTACACAGTATTCCATGATCTCATCAGTAAGTGTGTATTACATCATAGATTTTGACAGGAAAACAGTTCTGTTCTGAAAGTTAAAAAAATCATTACAATAATTTTCACCAATTACCTCAAATATAGCTATACTATTATAAAACAGCCAATGTAAAACTATGATTTTTGTCAAGCCTGGCTATTTCAAAAATTATCCATTGTGTACATGACATGAATGGTTTAAATTCACTTACATAATTATTGGATCTGCATTACCAAATAAACCCAAATGACAGATGAAACTTTAATGACATATTAGACAAATTTTATTACATTTTGACTTGTCTATTTTTTAGGGTCTATGTTACAAGTGAACCCTAATGACAGACCGAACATAACTGATGTATTAGACAGATTACAGGAGGTAGCAGCAGCCAGAAATATCAACTTAAAAACTCCACTTAATATTACTGAAGGAATATCTGCTACACCGTTCTCAGGTAAAAAAAACTCCACTTAATATTACTGAAGGAATATCTGCTACACCGTTCTCAGATAAAAAACTCCACTTAATATTACTGAAGGAATATCTGCTACACCGTTCTCAGGTAAAAAACTCCACTTAATATTACTGAAGGAATATCTGCTACACCGTTCTCAGGTAAAAAACTCCACTTAATATTACTGAAGGAATATCTGCTACACTGTTCTCAGGTAAAAAAAACTCCACTTAATATTACTGAATATCTGCTACACCGTTCTCAGGTAAAAAACTCCACTTAATAATACTGAAGGAATATCTGCTACACCGTTGTCAGGTAAAAAACTCCACTTAATATTACTGAAGGAATATCTGCTACACCGTTCTCAGGTAAAAAAACTCCACTTAATATTACTGAAGGAATATCTGCTACACCGTTGTCAGGTAAAAAACTCCACTTAATATTACTGAAGGAATATCTGCTACACCGTTCTCAGGTAAAAAAACTCCACTTAATATTACTGAAGGAATATCTGCTACACCGTTGTCAGGTAAAAAACTCCACTTAATATTACTGAAGGAATATCTGCTACACCGTTCTCAGGTAAAAAAAACTCCACTTAATATTACTGAAGGAATATCTGCTACACCGTTCTCAGATAAAAAACTCCACTTAATATTACTGAAGGAATATCTGCTACACCGTTCTCAGGTAAAAAACTCCACTTAATATTACTGAAGGAATATCTGCTACACCGTTCTCAGGTAAAAAACTCCACTTAATATTACTGAAGGAATATCTGCTACACTGTTCTCAGGTAAAAAAAAACTCCACTTAATATTACTGAATATCTGCTACACCGTTCTCAGGTAAAAAACTCCACTTAATAATACTGAAGGAATATCTGCTACACAGTTGTCAGGTAAAAAACTCCACTTAATATTACTGAAGGAATATCTGCTACACTGTTCTCAGGTAAAAAAACTCCACTTAATATTACTGAAGGAATATCTGCTACACCGTTGTCAGGTAAAAAACTCCACTTAATATTACTGAAGGAATATCTGCTACACCGTTCTCAGGTAAAAAAACTCCACTTAATATTACTGAAGGAATATCTGCTACACCGTTGTCAGGTAAAAAACTCCACTTAATATTACTGAAGGAATATCTGCTACACCGTTCTCAGGTAAAAAAACTCCACTTAATATTACTGAAGGAATATCTGCTACACCGTTCTCAGGTAAAAAACTCCACTTAATATTACTGAAGGAATATCTGCTACACCGTTCTCAGGTAAAAAACTCCACTTAATATTACTGAATATCTGCTACACTGTTCTCAGGTAAAAAACTCCACTTAATATAACTGAAGGAATATCTGCTACACCGTTCTCAGGTAAAAAACTCCACTTAATATTACTGAAGGAATATCTGCTACACCGTTCTCAGGTAAAAAAACTCCACTTAATATTACTGAAGGAATATCTGCTACACCTTTCTCAGGTAAAAAACTCCACTTAATATAACTGAAGGAATATCTGCTACACCGTTCTCAGGTAAAAAACTCCACTTAATATTACTGAAGGAATATCTGCTACACCGTTCTCAGGTAAAAAAACTCCACTTAATATTACTGAAGGAATATCTGCTACACCGTTCTCAGGTAAAAAACTCCACTTAATATTACTGAAGGAATATCTGCTACACCGTTCTCAGGTAAAAAAACTCCACTTAATATTACTGAAGGAATATCTGCTACACCGTTCTCAGGTAAAACTCTTGAAATCATAAGCTGGTTAAACTCAAGATAACATGGAATCTTTGTTTGGAAATTTTTTAATCATCACTAGATATTACTTACAGAATATATCACCATTCTCAAGTGTAAATGATAATATATGATTTGCACACTGTTTTTAAAACAAAGTGAGATTATTTTGGGAGAAGAATGAAATAGCGTTTTATGAAGGAAGGTATATGTGCATGGTTGTTTTAATCAGCATGTTTTTATGTAAAATGATATAACAGTTTAGAAATAAATAAACTTCTTTGATTTTGAATGCTTCTTTTGATCATTGAAAATCTTTATTATTTTAATAGATAGTTCAGATTCTCCAGTCAGACAAGCACCTCCACCACCTCAGCCTTCAGCATACAATGAGGGACAAACCACAGCAGGGTCAATATTTAGTTCATTAAAAGGTGGAGCAGGAAGTTTAATGAAAAATATCAAAGATGCTTCAGCCAAAGTAATGGAAACTGTCTCAGCGTAAGTTAAAATAGAAAACTTTAATATTTTATGCAGTGAAAATCTGAAATTATTTTACGACTAGTTAACCATTTATGGAGGTATCATTTACTGTAAACAGTTAAAGATATTTCAAACAAAATATTGAAATAACCAATTGTAATGAAGGCTATTGAAGAAAACTATTGAATGATGTGTGTTTAAAACAACACTAGAACATTGTTATTATTGAAATATTTACTTTTATTTCAGAACTGTGAACAAGGCAGATTTGGATTTGAGTTATATCACATCTAGAGTAATAGGTAATGTGCTTTCATTGGATTAATATTTTTTCATCATAAATGAATTTTTCTTATAGTATAAAAAATCTATATTACTTCATTAGCCTGTATATTATTCTAGATACATCCTCAAATGCTATTTTATGTTTGAGACTTGTAATGTAAGCTAGACTTGAAATGATTAAACAAATTATCCTTTAAAAAAGTGTATCATTTCAAACATTAAAAAAAATTCACTTATATCAGATGGATGGGTGGCTGATGAACATTCAGTGGCAAATTAAGTGCATATTTAGGCCACCAAAAAAATGTGTGTTTCCTATTACATGGAATTTTAAAATAGGGTAGGTAGGTGTTTTTTTTGTTTTGTTTTTTTTTCCCTTCAAAAAAAGGGGGATGGAGATTCAATATATATTGAACGGTAAAATTGATGTGTGTTAACAGTTGTATTACCTTTTCATTTCAGCAATGGTTGCTCCAATCAAAAGATTTATGTCTTTGATGAAGTCATTGTTTTGTTGATTCTAGACTTTTAATTTTGAATTCCTTTGCCAATAACTGTACATATCATCTTTACTGAGCCTTAAAGTGCAAACAAAATGAAACTGTACTGTATTGAAACTAATTGAAAAAACTGGATGACCTCAGGTGCTCTGGAAGGAATAGCAGGTCCTGCTTCTTGCAAGATAACCACCATGTTTCTCACAAAGGTTATTTCGGAAACTGTTGAAAGGAATCTACGACATCAGAAAAGGTCTGTTGACATTTGGGACACAGGCACCCCATAGCGGTCAATCAACTCATGATGACGGCCATAGAACTTGTGAAGTGATGAAACCCACACCAATGGCCCCAACAAGAAAGTAAATCAATGGTTTAATACAGCGCAATAAATTGCATCATAAAGTGTAATACTGAAAATACAAGGTGCTGGAATTTATTTATCCGTAGGGCCAACAAACATGTTGCCGTAAACAAGTGCGCAGCCATTACGATTTTATAATAAAAGAGAAGGTTACGGAAAAAGCACATAGTTTTTCCGGATTTTTTCTGAAATCATCAAAAAAAGTTCAGGGTCGGGATTTGGCGCAAAAAAATAGGGTGGGTCGGGTAACCGGAAACACACATATTTTTTTTTTTGGCCTTAGTATAAAAAGATGTTAATTCTATATGAAAATGAATCCTGCTTTTTACAAGACTGACACGCTGAGCAGGATTTTTAACAAGCTAGCTTTCAAGGTAACAGTCTGCAGGAAAACACACCTCCCTACTCATATACGTTGTTCTGACTACAAGCAGATTAATCTCTTCTCTTCTAATATCGCATGCTTTGGGGTGAAGCAGCAATACCAATTTTAAAGTCTTTGGTTTAACAGGGCCTGGAATCAAACCTGCACTCATTGCCACAATGCGACCACCACTTAAATCAGAGCACAAAGTTTAGCATATATATGTGAATTTACATTAGGTATTTCTAGCTAGCCAGGTAATTCCAGGCAACTACTCCACATGGTTATCACAAGAATAAGATGTGATATGATTGCCATTGAGACAATTCTCCATCAGAGAAAAAATGACCTAGAAGTTTGCAACTATAGGTCACCACATAGCCTTCAACAATGAGCAGAACTCATAAGGCATAGCATACTATAGAAAGTCTGATATATGTATAAAACAATAAAAGAAAAAACAAATATGATGTATAGCAGAGGCTGAATTACAGGCTCCTGACTTGGGACAGGCACATACAGAATTTGGAAGTTTAAACATGCTAGTGTGTGCCCAACCTTCCCAATAACCTGGGTCATTGGTGAAACAGCACAATACAAGAAAAAACTATACAAAACCATAAAATGAAAACAAAGATTAGTTCTATTTTCTAATTTTAAGTTGCTACTATCAGAGAATATTGAATGGGGTATTAAGTCTAATAACATTTCTATTTCAGTAATGTCATTCCCATCAGAAGGTGTAGAATCAGCTTTTAAGAATCATATAGATGAAGTTAGGAATTATTTAGATTACAAACATAAAAATTCATATGCTGTATACAATATATCACAGAAAAGTTATAGGACCATCAAATTTGAAAACAGGGTTGGTATATATATATCTATGTATTAACACATACATCAGTTCTAAATTAGAAATAACACATAAATAATCATATTGTACAGATGACCTTTGACACTTACCATGACTGGCAATTGTTATTTCTTTTCTTAAGTTTATTGAACTTTCTTTACAACTTTCATCTCCTTTCATGTTCAAGAATAGAAATTCTTATCCAGTTGATCATATTATTATTCGCCTTAGTAAGTTAAAGAAATACTTACTAGGTATAATAAAGTTGTACATGATTTTGACCAGATTAAAAAACAAATGAAGTTACTGATTATCATTTAAATAAAAAAAAAATTATTTCCCTTTTGGTCATATAGCTACTAAAGTTTTTATGTTTTTATACATCCCTGGCTTTCAAATGTCTAAGTTAGGATGTCTTAATGAATGTAAATCCAGAAAAGCTGTCTGGATGCACCAAATTTTTAAAGTGTTATTTTCATATATAATTGTATCAATTTTTGTCTGCAATTTATTATGATTCATTGTTTTCAAAAGGACACATAACTTTTAAGTAAGAGTCTAGATATAATTATTCTTTTAAACAGATACAATACCATTACACAGATGTTTTATATCTACATTATAGGTGTCAGAATGTGGTTGGACAGCAAGAAAAGCCCCAACACTTGCCAATCTCTTTGCTATTTGCAAGAATATGCATTTATGGCTCAGACAAAATCCACATAATATATGTGTGGTACATTGTTTAGTAAGTAATATATAAGACATCAAAGTAAATAGGTTAGGTAAAATATAAATTACTTCACATAGTTTGTATATTTGTAATATGCAATATAATATAAATAAAAAGGCCACATTCTTATGTTAAATATAATTCAGTATATAGATGAAAGTTAAAAACCAAATTTCAAATAACTTAGATAACAATGTTGAAATATTTCTTATACATTTTATGCCTATGAGTAAATGAAAGTTGTTTCAATAAAAAAAACAAGATACAAGATGTAGACAGTTCTCCAATAAGCCTTCAAATCTAAATGTGTTGAAAAAACATTGCAGAACAAGATATCTAAGGAATTGGGAACATTTTGATAGAGTATTTTATAAATGGTTCTGTGTTATAGGGACTATTCTATATTTGAAGCTGCAAGATAAGAACAAAAAGTTTGAAAATGATAGAATAAACATATCAAGCCTATAATTTACATTAATATGACAATAAAGTTTGATAGATGTTTTAATATTGTAGGATGGTAAAGCTTCCTCAGCCACAGTCGTTGGAGCATTTCTTGTGTTCTGTAGATTGTTTGAATCTAGTCAACAAGCTTTACATTTGTTCTCTTCAAAGCGATGCCAGCCAGGCCTGTCTCCTGCTCAAAGAAGGTATAACTGTCAACTTCCAACTTATTGTAGTAAAGAATTTCACTTGTTACTTGCATCACCAGCGGTGAAAGCAGGTCTAGTAACCACTCAACACAGTCCATCATGCCTTTCCAAAAGTCCTTCGGTAGAAATATTTTGACAAAGTTTTCTTGGGTTCTATGAAAGGAAACATTTTTGTATTAAGTATCCACCTCAATAATGTTGAGATATTGTGTGTAAGCAATTTTAACATCTGCCATGCAGCCATTTCCTGTTTGCCGATAGTTTGAAACTTTACAGCTCGCATTGTACAAGGAAAATGTTTGTCAAACACTTCTTAGATTTTAGGGAAGGAAATAATTTTATATTTTATCTGCAGCTTGATAATGTTGAGTTGTAGCCTGTTATTAAATTATACTAGTGCCAAGGCGGGCTCTTCATGTTTGCCAATAGTTTGAATTTTACTATACCTCTGTAGAAGGAAAATGTTTTCCTGGCTTGATTGATTTTAGGAAATGATCAGTTTTGGTTCAATATACATGTTACCTCAATTGCATGCTGCGGCACAGCTCCAAACATGGTATTGTTCTTGTTCTTATCAAAATGGTGTCTGTTATGTCTATCCTGCTCAAAAACAATATAACAGTCAATTACATTTATTAAGTCTCCCAAACGAAGTTTGGGAAGACTTATTGTTTTTGCTCAGTTCTTATTATTATTATTATTCTTCTTCTTCTTCTTCCTCTTCCGCCACTTTTAAATTTGAACTTGTCCGCACCCGTTCTCCAAAACCGCTTGTCAGATTAACTTAGGGTTTCACAATATGTTAGACTAACATGTCTAGTGGTGCAATCAGGGTTTTGTTTGTGCAATGGGGTTTATAAAGGGGTACTTTGAGGGGCAAAAAGAAGAGGGTTTTACTATAGAACCCTATGGGATTTTATTTTTAAAAATTTTCAAATGATTATAAATTGAAAACTGTTTGTGATAGACACAATCTTTTTAATTGAAAATGTTCTAAATGATAAAGCCCATTAAATGAAATACAGCGTTAGTCCCCAGGGGTCACCCCACCCCCTGCCATTTAAGAAAGTTCTAATACCTTGTAAATGGTCAAGATCCCCACCCCTAAACCATATATATTCTGTTTTTTCATGCTAAGATGGTTTGAATGATATACAGGGTTAGTCCCCAGGGGTCATCCCAACCCCCTGCCATTTGAGAAAGTTCTAATATCTTGTAAATGGTCGAGATCCCCACCCCTAAACCATATATATTCTGGTTTGTCATGATAAAGCACATCAAATGAAATACAGGGTTAGTCCCCAGGGTTCACCACCACCCCCTGCCATTTAAAAAAGTTCTAATATCTTGAAAGTGGTCAAGATCCCCACCCCTAAACCATATATATTCTGGTTTGTCATGCTAAGATGGTTTGAATGATATACAGGGTTAGTCCCCAGGGGTCATCCCGACCCCCTGCCATTTGAGAAAGTTCTAATATCTTGTAAATGGTCGAGATCCCCACCCCTAAACCATATATATTCTGGTTTGTCATGATAAAGCACATCAAACGAAATACAGGGTTAGTCCCCAGGGGTCACTCCCACCCCATGCCATTTAAGAAAGTTCTAATATCTTGTAAGTGGTCAAGATCCCCACCCCCTAAACCATATATATTCTGGTTTGTCATGCTAAGATGGTTTGAATGATATACAGGGTTAGTCCCCAGGGGTCATCCTGACCCCCTGCCATTTGAGAAAGTTCTAATATCTTGTAAATGGTCGAGATCCCCACCCCTAAACCATATATATTTTTGTTTGTCATGCTAAGATGGTTTGAATGATATACAGGGTTAGTCCCCAGGGGTCATCCCGACCCCCTGCCATTTGAGAAAGTTCTAATATCTTGTAAATGGTTGAGATCCCCACCCCTAAACCATATATATTCTGGTTTGTCATGATAAAGCACATCAAATGAAATACAGGGTTAGTCCCCAGGGGTCACCCCCACTCCATGCCATTTAAGAAAGTTCTAATATCTTGTAAGTGGTCAAGATCCCCACCCCCTAAACCATATATATTCTGGTTTGTCATGCTAAGATGGTTTGAATGATATACAGGGTTAGTCCCAGGGGTCATCCCGACCCCCTGAAATTTGAGAAAGTTCTAATATCTTGTAAATGGTCGAGATCCCCACCCCTAAACCATATATATTCTGGTTTGTCATGCCAAGATGATTTGAATGATATACAGGGTTAGTCCCCAGGCATCACTAATGCATATAACTTTACTGGACCAAACCAATTTTCACTGGACTTTGCCCAATGTCAGGCGACCCTGGGAATTACGAATTATGGGAGCTTTGTTTGGGAGACTTCGTAACAGCATCCTGTTACAATCATTTCTTGTTCTTTATACATCAGTGATATCCTGGCTTATATTCTGTTCAGGGACAAAACATAACCAATTCCCATGTAACCAGTCATTGGTAGCCAGATTTGTATCAAGTTTAAAAGTAAAAAATGCTTCTATTTTTTGGCATGTTGATTATCTTACGTACAAGAAAAAAGGTTCTTTAGATGGTTATCTTGTATAGATACTAATTACACTTTAATTTGATTGACTATTCTATAGGTAGTTGATACCTGATATTGACCTCTCAGAAAAGCAAACATATATAAAATTGAGAATGGAAATGGGGAATGTGTCAAAGAGACAACAACCCGACCATAGAACAGACAACAGCAGAAGGTCACTAACAGGTCTTCAATGCAGCGAGAAATTCCCGCACCCGGAGGCGTCCTTCAGCTGGCCCCTAAACAAATATATATACTAGTTCAGTGATAATGAATGCCATACTAAACTCCAAATTGTACACAAGAAACTAAAATTAAAAATAATACAAGACTAACAAAGGCTAGAGGCTCCTGACTTGGGACAGGCGCAAAAATGCGGCGGGGTTAAACATGTTTATGAGATCTCAACCCTCCCCCTATACTGTAAATTCAGAAATTATTGCGTGCATTTATTATTGCGATTTTGTCATTTTAGACTTAAATGCGATTTTAATTTTTACGATTTTGAGAAAAATCCTGTTTAGTTCATATAAAATATTTCAAAATGCGAGTTTAAATTATTGCGTTTACAACTCTGTCGCATTTGTCGCAATAATAAAAACCTCGCAATAATTTCTGAATTTACAGTACCTCTAGCCAATGTAGAAAAGTAAATGCATAACAATACGCACATTAAAATTCAGTTCAAGAGAAGTCTGAGTCTGATGTCAGAAGATGTAACCAAAGAAAATAAACAAAATGACAATAATACATAAATAACAACAGACTACTAGCAGTTAACTGACATGCCAGCTCCAGACTTCAATTAAACTGATTGAAAGATTATGTCTTCATCATATGAATATCAGGCACAATCCTTCCCGTTAGGGGTTTAGTATCATACCATCATAACATATATGAGAAGAACATAACCCGTGTCATGCCAACAACTGGTTTTTAAATAAATGTGTTTAGTGCCGATGCAAAGACCCTATAAGTGAATCAATATTAACGCCAAAATATGCAATCTTTAATGACCTGACAACAGTATCGTAACTATATCCCTTCTTAATAAGTCTATTTAAAGGTTTTGTTAGCTTCAGAGGTGAATACTGACATTTTTGTGCTTTATAAAGAATATTTCCATAAAAAATTGGATGTGAAATACCTGAACGTATAAGAAGTCTGCATGTTGAGCTATATTTACGAATGATGTCCTTATACCGATGATAAAGTTTAGTAAATGTTTTGACTAGTTTGTGATATCGAAAACCCTGGTGTAATAATTTTTCAGTAATACATAAATTTCTCTCGTTAAAATCTAAAACATTGTTACATACACGAGCGAATCGTACAAGTTGAGATATATAAACACCGTAAGATGGTGACAAGGGAACGTCACCATCTAAAAATGGATAATTAACGATAGGAAATGAAAAATCATCTCTTTTATCATATATTTTAGTATTAAGCTTTCCATTAATGATATAGATATCAAGATAGAGGAAAGGGCAGTGGTCATTGTTAGTATTAGCTTTATTTAAAGTAAGTTCAACAGGATAAATTTCATTAGTATACATACTGAAGTCGTCATTATTGAGAGCCAAAATATCATCCAAATATCTAAAAGTATTATTAAATTTGTGTATCAGATATTGTTTCGATGGGTCTTTGCTGATTTTTGTCATAAATTGTAACTCATAGCAATACAAAAAAAGGTCCGCAATAAGTGGTGCACAGTTAGTCCCCATTGGAATTCCGATAACCTGACGATATACAGAATCTCCAAAGCGAACAAAAATGTTATCTAGTAAAAATTCAAGGGCATATATAATATCAAAGCATGTCCAATTGACATAGTTTTTTTGTTTATTGCTACTAAAAAATGACCTAAAAGAGTTTCAACATATATATTCAGATTCTGACTTTCTAAATGCCCATTTAATTAGGTGTGTGAATTTTTTCTTAATGAGAATGTGAGGCAATGTGGTATATAGGGTAGAAAAATCAAAAATAGAATACATATCTTAGTTGGTAGCTGAAACTTTACACATGATTTCAGTCATATTTCTAAGAATGACCCTGAGGTTTAATTTTCATGTTCACCCAGATTTGAAAAGACCCAGTTCATAGCAAAAGCTTTCATTTCTAGATTGATGTTGTATTAAGGATGTATTCTTCTGAAGTTTTAGTCTCGTTGAAATCTCGTTCTGGAATTATTTCCAAAACATGCGATACAAGTGGAAAATATCAATGAATTTAAAAAATATTATATAATCAAACTTACCTCTGAGAAAAAATCGTGTATTAACAATAAGTAGTTTTTGCATAATAAAATTTTCAAATTTTATAACCAATCAAGTCAGTCTCATCAGCCAAAATTTTGAGAATATTTTTTCATGATAATATTCTAAAAATGGATAAAAATTGATGAAATATGGGAAAATCATCAAAATTGGGTACTTTCAAATGGCCGTAGCAAAAAAGAAGTGCACCACAATATGATTTTTTCTTCACCAATAATTTTTTTACAGGCATATAAACCAAAAATCAGGTTAAGAAAAAAAGTTTAATTCTAGAAATTGTTGGCTCCTCAGAGGTGTACATCCTTAATAAAAAGATGTATTGTAAAAGGTAAACAACGTGGTGAAAGAAAATTTCAAGCAGATGTAATATGGTTTTTTAAATTATACAATCCATATAAATATGAACCTGCTTGGAAAACAATGAGTGGCAAATATGACTGTTTTTGAACCCTTGCTGACACCCCATATTTACCTTTCTTCAAACATTTGTTTTCTATTTATAGGTATATAGGGTACATTTCTGAGATGGTAGCTGACACCCCATATTTACCTTTCTTCAAACATTTGTTTTCTATTTATAGGTATATAGGGTACATTTCTGAGATGGTAGCTGACACCCCATATTTACCTCACTTCAAACATTTGTTTTCTATTTATAGGTATATAGGGTACATTTCTGAGATGGTAGCTGACACCCGATATTTACCTCACTTCAAACATTTGTTTTCTATTTACAGGTATATAGGGTACATTTCTGAAATGGTAGCTGACACCCCATATTTACCTCACAGTAGGCCAGTGATGATAAAGAACCTAATCATGTCACCAGTTCCACTATTCAATAAAATGAGGTAGGTAGTGATAAATCTACTGTAAAAGTTATATACTATGTTACTCCAGACCTGAAACTATAATAATAGAGTAGTAGAAGAAAATAAATTAACAACTGTTATAAAGCTTGATTGCAGGAATATTTCATTGTCTAGGTAGATTGCATCCTAATTAGGGGCCCACCTTGAAAATTTGGGAGCTTTTTTGAAACACAGACTCATTAATTTTCTCATTTCTTCTCAATATTGAAAGCAATAATATTCTGAAGATTAAAATTTTATTGCAAGTGTAAGCACAAATTTAATATATAGTAGTTTAAAAAATATAAATGATAAAATTTTATTATTGTTAATAAAGGTGTTTTTATATTGTTATTATATCTGTTTAATAGGAATGGTTGTCGACCGTTTGTGGAGATTTTTGTTGGAGAAGATAGAATAATGTCAACATCTCAAGAATATGACAAGATGAGGTTTGTAATATAATCTCATTAAGGTAGATTGTAGATGTTGTATCATTAAAATTGGGTTTTTTTTTAATGTGAAAATATTTGCAGGAACAGGAATATTTTAAGAGAGAAAAAAAGATTTATAGAAACTATTTAAATCAATTAAATGAATAAACTAATTATATTGTTTTACTTTCAGAGGGTTTGTTGTTGATGAAGGAAAAGCTATAATACCACTGAACATGTCTGTTGTTGGTGACATTACTGTGATAGCTTATCATGCAAGGTCAACATTTGGGGGCAAAGTTCAGGGCAAGGTAAATTATTAAATTTCAACATTAGGGGACAAAGTTGTCAGCAAGAGAAGAATACAAGGACAACATTGGGAAGGCTGGGTGCCTAATAATAGTATCTTGGACAAAGTGAAGGACAAGGTCAACATTTGGGATGAGGACATGAAAGGTTGAGGGCAAAGGTCAAGCAGAGGAAGTAAATGTACAGACCTCCATAGTCAACTTTAAGTTTAAGACAGAATTTAGCGGATGGGGTTATGAAGATATCTTGCTCACACTCTTACTTAACCACTGAAAAAAACCCATTACAAGTGGTGAAAGTAAAAAATTCTAATTTGTTTCCAACCTTCTAAAAGCAAATCTAATATGGTTTTTTAGGGGTCAGTTTCAGTTTGACTTCATTGACATATCCTGATTAAGGTTACTAGTCACCAGCAAAAGAAATCCATTCATAAAAATTCTAATTGAATAGATTGCCTGAATATGATGCTCCACTCCCCCCCCCCAAAAAAAGGTGAAAAAATGTAAAATAAACATTTTTATGTTCTCAATATAGTACATTTTTTCTTTGCCAAAGACAGGTACATGTATCTAGGCAGTCAATATTAGAAACTAACTCAGTACAAAGCTACAGGCTTAACAAAAAATAACTTCTTTTTAAAACTAGTTGTAAAACAATGTTGGGACCATTGTTTAAAAGTAAGAAATTTGTCTGGTTGTGAAGATCTACTGCTTCTGTCAAACAAACAATGCTTTCATCCACCAAACATCTATTGTCAGTGGCATTCTACATTTCACTTCATTTATCTTGGTCAAGTCACTTTACAGAACCCATCTCATGGGTCAGGATTTCAATATTGTTAATTTGTTGTTGTCCTGAATACACATGAAATATTGGAATCCAAACATTAATCAAACAACCAAGCAACATTTCTATTGTGTAAAACTGTTTATCATTACAATTATAAATCATATTAAATTTGTTTCTTTCAGATTACATCAATGAAGATGTTTCAGTTACAGTTTCATACTGGTATGGTCAAACCTGAAACCACTAACACTAAGTTCACACAGTAAGTATAAATACTCCTATGGTCAAATGTGAAACCACTGGTTTAGTTTAAACATGTTTTATTGTTCAAAAAGGTCAATGTGAATTCACTTACATAAAGTTCATAGAATAGGTATTCACACTGGTAAGGTCAAACTTGAAACCACTAAGATTAAGTTCACAAAGTAGATATACATACTGCTATAATCAAACCTGAAACCAATTACAATAAGTTCAAGTTCAATACATACTCCTATGATAAAATTTGAAACCACAAAGGATAAGTTCAAAAGTAAGTCTGCATACTGCGATGGTCCAACCTGAAACCACTAACAATATTATAAGTTTACACAGTTATTCTACATGCTGCTATGGTCAAATTTGAAACCATTGATATTAGGTTCATGCTTTGAACCTGAAACCACTGTCATATTAACAACAATACCAAAAGTCGTTACTATCATTCGAGGCTTTTTAAAGGTCAAATGATTATATGACAGGATGTTGAACTTTGTCATATTTATGGATATTTCAAAAAAGTTTACCATTAACATTATGATTTATATTCATTTATGATGACTTTAAAGGTAATAAATAAAATTTTCAATTTAAATAGTGCTTTTACATCAGTCCTACATTCACCAAGAACTGTTTATTACGGGATATGGTACTTGGAATGTACAATCAACATTCACTTTTTTTTAGCTCCAGATATTTTTGCAAAACTTGAGCTATAAAGTTTGAAACAAACCATTATCATACTTTATGGAATAAATCATTGTTATCACAGAGCATTAAATTGTCTTCTTAAACCCAATCTTTCAAGCTGTACTTCAACTACTTGTTGTCTTTATGTTTTAAGATATATTTTTTTGTTGCAGATTTGATTTGGATCAGTTAGAAACTGCGGACAAATATCCGGATCTTTTCTCTGTGTCGTTGGATGTGATTGTATCACCCAATGAACGTCCTAGAACTGACAGTATGTACCCATGGCAAAAATTTGATACACAGAAACTGAATCCCAGGGTTTTATTCTCTTCTAAAGATGAACTGTATCAAGTTCTAAATGAGTTTGGTAAGTTGTATTATCAGGATAATTTAGTGTCAATAATAATAATAAATTCTTTATTTAAAGAGGGTAAACACAGTTGCAATAAACTTATCTTCCCTGAGGTCCTCACATACAAATTACAATACATTCAAAAACAGATATTTACACATAGTTATTTTACAATCATATAGTTCAATGTATCATTACAAACATGATAAAAGATAAAACTGCTAAAGAGGTACATGTAGTAAAATATTTTAAAAAATAGTATACAAATCAATATAATACATTGTAAAAAACAGAAACCTTATTAGCTTATAAAAGTAAGAAAATATAAATAAAGATTGCTCTTTTTTCACTTAACATACCTGGGTATGACAAGAGAATAGATAGCTAGGCACAGGGAAAAACTGGTCTAATGAAATAAACTAATGAACTGTTGAGAGATCGAGGGATTTTAATACTATTCATATAAGGCCATTGAATGTTGGTTTCCCCTAACACAAGAAAATTTGTGAAGGTTGGGCAGGCAGGAAAATCTCTTTATTTAATTTATTAATTTTTTTTATGAAAAAGCAAACAAGGCACACACTGTTTTAATAGTTCTATAGAGAAATTTTCTTAAACCACTGATAGGAAATTTATCTGTTTAAAAAAATGACCTGGAAGGTAAAACAGCCCCGGCAGGTTTATAGGAAACCAACATTCTGTTTTGCCTAAGGCAATAATCATCAGGACTTGTATGACTGATACAAACCAAAGTAATACTGTTTTAATACTTGGCTTTTAAGGTATTACTGTAGATGTAAAACATTAGTTACATTTCACATAACCTTTATTTATTTAGTAAAACTATGCTTTAATTATATATATATAGTTTTGATCCAATTTTCTACATCAGGTATATCAGAAAGAGTAAAATCCAGATTACACAGGACTACCAGTCAACCTAGTAGTGAGAATAGCAGTCCTGCTCATGTATCAAAGCCACAAGAACCAAAACAGGAAACCAGGAAAACAGAGGAACCAGTTAACAAAAAAAGTTTCTTTGACAGTTTAAGTTGGCAACAGGAAGAATCAAAAGGACTGGGTGAAGTAAAGAGTTTTGCTGACAGAGAATCGGAATCAGGTCTGCTCAGTGGCAGTGAAGATGAAGATGATTTTGCAGCTTTAACTAGTGAACGTATGAAGGGATTACCTAATGGTAATAGTGGATCTCAAAACTCTATTGGAGGGAAGAAATCACCAAATGTTGACTTGTTTTCTTCTGGAAATAACTCTGATAATGTGGATTTATTTTCAATGGGAAACCAGTCAAAACAACAAGATGTTGACTTTTTCTCATCAGGAAATAACACTGAAAATGTGGATTTGTTTTCTTTAGGAAACCAGTCAAAACCACAAAACGTTGACTTGTTTTCATCAAAATCTGATAATCAATTGTTTGATCTGTCAGGTGAGCAAACTGAAGCAGGCATATTAAATTCAAAAAATGGAGATGTGTCAGAACAAATGGATTTACTTAATATAAATGAACCTAGTGATGACTTAGACTTTCTAGGTGGAACACAAAATAGTGCGCCTAGTGGTCAGCAATCTACATTTGATCCTTTCCAGGAATTATCTTCTCGACAGACTAATGCATTCCCAACAGCCAACTCTACCCAGAAACCATCTGGAACATTCGATCCATTCCAAACAAGTGTCTCAAGTAAAAACAATTCCAAAAATACTCAAGAAGATGAATTTATTAAAATGATGGAAAGTAATTCCTCAAATGACACTGGTCCAAATTTACTTGGAAACTGGGATAGTTCAAATGTAGTTAAGTTTAATACATCAAACATTCCAGTAAATAGATCAAGTCCTAACTTACGACAAAGTCATTCTGCTTCTAACTTAGGAGGTAATCAACAGAATAATAGTGGAACTAAATTGCCGGCAATGGGAGGATTTGGTTCACAACAAAATATTTTATCTGCTAATCAGGCTAAGCCAGCTCAGCAACAACAACAGCCCAAAAAACTGGATCCATTTGCTGACTTAGGTAAGCTGATAAGATTTTGAAGATCAGTCAATCTTCTACATCAGTCAGGGATATAACTCTATAGGGTTATTACAGAAAATAACTTGCATGTGTTATTACAGATACTTTCATGAGTTGTCTACTCTTTATTCCTTAAATTTTCTAAATCTGTAATAACATATGTTTGTTATTTGTAAAATAAATCAAAAATATTTTAATCTATAGTGGGCTCTAGGGAACTCTCGAGACTTTGCGCAGAAACTAAATGCATAGCCTTGATAACTAATTTTTTAATTAGATTAATACATTTTTGATTAACCATGGTAAATCAATGAGATAAGGCTTTTAAGGGATAAACTTAGCTGTAATAACAAGGCTTAGTTATTAAAGGAATGTAACTTATTATATGAAACACTTGGGAATAACTGGGAAGCTTGCGCAGAACCTCATTACATGCTCTGGTCATTATTTCTTACAATAAATTAAAATACATTGTAATTAAGCATGATGTATGTCTGAGCAAATGCTTTGGAGTAGCTGTGATAACACCCTTTAGTTATTACAGGCATATTTTTTCTGTAATAACATAGGTGTACTATGCATAATTGGCAAACTATGAACTGTTATATCTTTCTATAGTTAAGTATACATAAAGACGATAGTAATATGAATAGAACTTGTATACATTTTAACTAAACTAATGATGTATATTGTCCCTTTGAAAAATGTAACATACATATGTTATCACAGTTCTATGATTTTTTAGTCCACAATAACAAATGTATGTTATTTTTCTGTAATAACCCTATAGAGTTATATCCCTGACTGTACATAGGAGGTTTCAGAGACATAAATGAGGGCGTTCCACTTGACAATTAAATTTGTAAATTTTTTTTTTAATTTCTGTTTAACTGCAATAATAGCTCAAAAATATATGCACAAATGGCAGCGGAACTTTTAGGCGATTGTAACTCTAATGGTAGAAAAAAAAGGCATTTGATGCTTGATTGATTAAAGTCATCCTTACTCACATGTAGAAAATACTTGAGTTTGGCATCCAACATTCCTTCGAGAGAAATACTCTCCTGTTAATGAACAATAATTAATAATTATAATATCTAGTTGCATGTAAACTGTTGATGTTTTTGATATTGTGACAACTATTGTTTTCTCTGTAATGTCAATTGTGTATTATGATGAGAAAAGGTGGAGTTTACTTCTAAAGAATGAGTTTGGATCAAATATAAAAAAGATATATGTTTATTTCATTATTTCACCTAAATAAATGTACACATTGGATACCAAAGGTGGTAAATAAATAAAATCAAGTAAACTGTACCAGGATATGTTTTTAATCATCAGACAGAATACCAGGTATGAGATACTTGCAAGTTATAATAATTTTAGAGAATAAAGTATATATCTGACAACATGTCATAGAATACCTTTTTTAAAACAGGTAGTTTAGGTAGTATTGGAGGTAATAAGCAGTCTGCAGGGTGGCAAAATAAACCATCTCCACAAGGTTCTCCAAAACTCAACAGGCCACAGGCAGTCATCAACAAAAATTCCCCTCAAGGATCCCCACAGATATCTAGACCTGCACAACATAAACCAAACTACAACGTAAACTTCCCTGCTCCTCCGAGTAACACAGGAAAATCAAGTGTGATTGGTGATAGAAGTGATCGAGGTGTTAGGAAACCATTCGGTAAGTGAAACTAAAACAGATATAGTACCAAAGTCTTGTATCAAGGTCTTTCATGTACAAACACAAACAAAACAACATTGATTGAACATTTAACCAATGGTTTTATGTTAAATAAGTTTTTATTATTAGCTTGTAAAAATTTAAGCTTTTGTTTGTCTGATTTCTGTGTTTAAGTTGTAATATGGATAGTAAAGTATGTAATGAACTCCGAGTCCAAGGTAATTTAAGGTCTTAATTAACTGGAAAAATGGAAACACAAACCATCTAAACTGCTGGAAAAAATTGAATTTGACTGTCATATGCCAGACTTGGTAAGGGAATAATTGGATGTCAAACCAGGTTCTGTGGTACCAAACTTCCAACTTTTACACTTTGGAGGCCAAAATTTTATAGCTATCTTCTGACCATTTTCACATAGGTCAACTTTGGTATTCATAATGAATTCAAATCTCCACTTTGTCATTGAGTTTATCTTTGACTGTTGATTGTTTGAGTAAGACTGAAACATCCTAGAAGCAGTATAATGATTGTTTTGTATTTGCAATATATTTATTTTATTTTATCATGTTTATTTTATTTTCCATCATAATTTAACTCTTGTCATTATGATTGCAGATAACTTTGGTAATACATTTCAATAACATTTTGAATGCTTCTGAGCACAACATGCCACTTTTCCTACATCATTTGTTAACACCAACTTTTCACCATTTTACACTCTTTAAAGTATTTACCTCAATGTTTATAAAGAAGTTAGATTCTACCAGCCACCTTCTAACCTGCACCTTGCATTTATGAAATGTGAAAAGATTAAAGTTGCACAAATGTTACACTGAATTCTGTCTTTTTTTCTCTCCATTATTTCACATGTTTTAATTTAATGGTAAAACAAAATAGGTTTTAACTAAAACAAGTCAAATTTTTATTTTTCATAGAGTTAATGTTAACAATTAAACTTGTTCTAAATACTAGTAACTTCTGATTGTTTAAACCATTTTGTTTATGCATTTCACATGTTTCAGGTCCAAAGCCATCAGTATCTAATCATGCCTTTGAAGATCTGTTAGGGCAGCAGGGCTTTAGTTCTACAGCTAAATCTAACGAACAAAAGACTATTGCCAGTATGAGGAGACAACAGTTAGTAGAAGATATGGATCCTGATAAATTAAAGGTAGATAACAGACAAATACACATCTTTTTAAATATCTTAATAATTTAAAAAAAACAACACTGCTGTCTGAAGTTAAAGACCATATGTTGATGTCTTTTGATTATTATTTTGTGTTGTTACATTACTGTCTCATTGAGGTATACAACATATCTCCTTTAATTCACAAAAAAACTCATTTTTGTTACATTGTAAAACATAAAAATGTCATTTTATTAGAATATTGTATACAAATCACGTCTATGAAAATCTTATCACAGATAAAAATATGAGCTTTTATACAACAATTTGTTAAAGAACTGTCAGAAATACTATCAATTAATTGAACTGTATTAAAGATATTGGAATGGGTACAGGGTAAAGAGAGGAATATAAGAGCTCTTCTGTGTTCACTACATACAGTCCTATGGGAGGGAGAGGAACGATGGAAAGGCATTGGAATGCACGACCTTGTCACACCGGAACAAGTCAAGAAAGTCTACCGTAAAGCTGTTTTAGCCGTTCATCCAGATAAGGTAGGTTCTGTTTAATGATATCATAACCGTACAATAAGTCAGGAAAAATGTTCTGTATGTTTGCTGTTTATAAGGCTAAAGTATGTGTAGTACCATAATCTGGTACCTTGTACCAGTCAAGAAATGGTTCCATGATGTATCAGATAACTGTTCATCCAGATAAAAGGGGTTCTGTACCATGAGATGTTTACTTGCATTTAAAGCCACATTTTACAGTCATTCAATATATTTATAGATCTAATTTAAAAATTTGAATTGTATCTCTGAAATTATAAGTGATGCATAAATGGAGTTCAATGAGTTCTAAATGCCTATAACATTTCATAAAAATTGGAAATACTGCTTGGCTGTTTAAGCTGAATGGTAATACAGAAATAAAACTGGAAATGTTTATTGTTATCTCTCTCAATTACCACATACATGTACAGTACAGGTGATAGCAGTCTATCATCAAAATACATTTATCTTCTATTAATGTAGTGTATTCTATGGGCAGTTTTACATTATGTTCTAGTCTTAAACTTTTGATTCCTGCAATTAGATTAAGTTACAATGATTTCATTATAAACAAACTGTCAAAATAATACATTGAAAGTTGAGAACTTTTTTTTCATGTGCATAGTCCTCATGACCAGATTAAATAGAATTTATAATGTTACGTGGTATGTGAAATGGTTCATTGAATCAGTTGAACATTCAAGGAATTATTTAAGTTATTCTACCTTTAAATGACCCAAGATATAATTTATTTGCAGCTGACTGGATCACCACATGAAGACATGGCTAAAATGATATTTATGGAATTAAACGATGGCTGGGCCCAGTTTGAGGAGGAAGGCATGAAAGCTTTATATTAACAATTTCAAATCACATGATCATGGACAGTTACTGCACTTTGAAAGTATTCGATGATTATCTAGGTCACATGTAATTTCTATAATTTTAATGTTTTTTCTAGGACTGTGCTGTATGTTTCTTATTAGTTTTCAATTTCACTTTAACATCATTTTATTGAGATAAAAAAGGCCAGATTACTTTTAATGTTTGGTGAATCAGTAATTTTTTTAATTTTTTAGTAGCAGGGTGAATTAGTAGGATTTTTAGCCAGCAATGGAATTCTAACAATATCTTTGAATACAATTGGAAGAAAAAATAAGCAACATTCATACTAAGTAATTATTGAAGTAAACCATATATCATATACATGTATCATTAAAATATTTATGTAAATTTCTCTAAAGATTGAAAATACAAAATGTATCTGATGTCCCAAACATTAAGATTGGAATTATCTTATACTTTATCCCAATAGTCAAAAGAGCAGTATATGATATCCCTTAAACAATGATCTATTTTATTTTGTGTTTTAATATTTATATAGATTGCTGCTTATTGATGAATTATGTTATAATATACTTAATATATTTAATATTTTACTTGGCTTCAATTGCACAGTTAAAAGAAAATTCCCTCTAACAGATGATACCACGTTTTAATCCAATTTTATTTTAAGTACTCCTTATAATTGCTACCTGGATAAATCAGTTTTAAGGTCTCTACACATATTGAAAATTGGCATAGTGTGTGATAGTATTAAGAACATCTGTTGTGGTATGTTTCCTGACTGCCTCTGTAATCCAGATATAGTCATTCATATGGCATAACATAATGGTTGTACAGCGGTCACATGGTCAGTTGTGGTACAGATTACTTAAATCTCATCATGTTTCTATCATTGCCTCTTTAATTTAGATATAATCATTTATACCGCTACTTGAGTTTTACATTTCTGTACTGTTTACACCCACAATTTTATGCCTGGTTTCTTGTCCTTTTTAGTGATCGTGTCATCACTTTAGGTAGGGATTCCTTTAAACATGTTTATTTTATTTTCCTTTTATTTAAACATTGTATATGACCCACAATCTTATTTGTTTGTGCAATATAATGGTTTCATGTAATTTGATTAGTATTCAGTATTCTATGTTCTGATTATAGTTTAAGTACTAAAATGTAATTATTTTCCAAATTTGATACATTTAAGATTGGAAACCATTAATTGAGACAATGAATTGAATATGATATATTATTGTCTGTTATGTACTAATTAATGTATAGTTTATCTATGTATTTATAAAACATTCCGATTGATAAGCTGGTTCTTTTGACATATCTGTATTCCCCTAAGGTTAGTAAGCATGTATTTTGTATATTTTGGAATATCTGTGATAGTTATTGGTTAATCTTAATAATACTAAGGTATGGTCTTTCTACAGATGTAGGTGTAGACTTTCTATAAATCTCTTAAAGAGTTCTAACATGAAGTATTAACAATTGTTCCATGGACATATGTGCAATCAGTGAGATTCATACATTTTAGCATTTTAAAATATGAAATATTATTTCTGTATGGTGTAGTAATTTAAAGTACAAATAAGTTTTTAGAAGGAAACTGTTAAAGTTAGTCGTCACTCACATATTTTTCTGTTTTATATCCAATTATGAAAGATTTGAACATTGGTGTTTAGATGTTTTAGAAGTTAAAAAAATTTAGTGAATAAGTAAGTTTATTGCACTAACAATTACGTCAATAAAAGTTGTTATTTGAGAATGAGATTAGGTGCGTTTTAAATTTGTGTATATTAGTTAATGATAAACACTGTTTGTTGTCTGTAAATAGTGGATACTTATGAATAGGTCAATAAATATGCATCAGTATGATAGTGTTCTTATATATTTAATAGCCACAACAGTTTGGATTCTTGTGCATCTATTATCAGATTATCCAGTCAAGGACATGCAAGTTTTTTTGACCTCCTGAATATACTGAAAAGAAACATACCAAAAGTATTTCTTAAAAGGTATTGATTGACATGCTTTAAACAATTTTTAGCTGACCTGGCCCAAAGGGCCAAGTGAGCTTTTCTCATCACTTGGCGTCCGTCGTCCAGCGTCGTCCGTCGTCGGCGTTAACTTTTTACATTTTGAACTTCTTCTAGAGAACCACTGAATGGAATGAAACCAAATATGGCATGAATGTTCCTTATGAGGTACTGACCAAGTGTTGTTACTTTGTAGCCGATCCATCATCCAAGATGGCCGCCAGCGGGGGACTTAGTTTAACATAGGACCCTATGGGAAATGCATACAAATGACTTCTTTTAGAGAACCACTGAATGGAATGAAACCAAACATGGCATGAATGTTCCTTATGAGGTGCTCACCAAGTGTTGTTACTTTGTAGCCGATCCATCATCTAAGATGGCCGCCAGCAGGGGACTTAGATTAACATAGGACCCTATGGGAAATGCATACAAATGACTTCTTTTAGAGAACCACTGAATGGAATAAAACCAAACATGGCATGAATGTTCCTTATGAGGTGCTGACCATGTGTTGTTACTTTGTAGCCGATCCATCATCTAAGATGGCCGCCATCGGGGAACTTAGTTTAACATAGGACCCTATGGGAAATACATACAAATGTCTTCTTTTAGAGAACCACTGAATGGAATGAAACCAAACATGGCATGAATGTTCGTTATGAGGTGCTGACCAAATGTTGTTACTTTGTAGCGATCCATCATCCAAGATGGCTGCCAGCGGGGGACATCGTTTAACATAGGACCCTATGGGAAATACATACAAATGTCTTCTTTTAGAGAACCACTGAATGGAATGAAACCAAACATGGCATGAATGTTCGTTATGAGGTGCTGACCAAATGTTGTTACTTTGTAGCGATCCATCATCCAAGATGGCTGCCATCGGGGGACTTCGTTTAACATAGGACCCTATGGGAAATACATACAAATGTCTTCTTTTAGAGAACCACTGAATGGAATGAAACCAAACATGGCATGAATGTTCGTTATGAGGTGCTGACCAAATGTTGTTACTTTGTAGCGATCCATCATCCAAGATGGCTGCCAGCGGGGGACTTCGTTTAACATAGGACCCTATGGGAAATACATAAAAATGTCTTCTTTTAGAGAACCACTGAATGGAATGAAACCAAACATGGCATGAATGTTCCTTATGAGATGCTGACCAAGTGTTGTTACTTTGCAGTCGGTCCATTATCTAAGATGGCCGCCAGCAGGGGACTTAGTTTAACATAGGACCCTATGGGAAATACATACAAATGTCTTCTTTTAGAGAACCACTGAATGGAATGAAACCAAACATGGCATGAATGTTCCTTATGAGGTTCTGACCAAGTGTTGTTACCTTGTTACCGATCCATCATCCAAGATGGCCGCCAGCGGGGGACTTAGTTTAACATAGGACCCTATGGGAAATACATACAAATGTCTTCTTTTAGAGAACCACTGAATGGAATGAAACCAAACATGGCATGAATGTTCCTTATGAGGTGCTGACCAAGTGTTGTTACTTTGCAGTCGGTCCATCATCTAAGATGGCCGCCAGCAGGGGACTTAGTTTAACAAAGGACCTATGGGAAATACATACAAATGTCTTCTTTTAGAGAACCACTGAATGGAATGAAACCAAACATGGCATGAATCTTCCTTATGAGATGCTGACCAAGTGTTGTTACTTTGTAGCCGATCCATCATCCAAGATGGCCGCCAGCGGGGGACTTAGTTTTACATAGGACCCTTTGGGAAATACATAAAAATGTCTTCTTTTAGAGAACCAATAAATGGAATGGAACCAAACATGGCATGAATGTTCCTTATGAGATGTTGACCAAGTGTTGTTACTTTGCAGTCGATCCATCATCCAAGATGGCCGCTAGGGGGGGGGGGGGGGGGGCTTAGTTTAACATAGGACCCTATGGGAAATACATACAAATGTCTTCTTTTAGAGTACCACTGAATGGAATGAAACCAAACATGGCATGAATGTTCCTTATGAAGTGCTGACCAAGTGTTGCTACTTTGTTGCCCATTTACTGTTCAAGATGGCCACCAGGATATTTTATTAAATAACGGGACCAATATTAATCAAAATTTGGCCTCAATCATTATTTGGGTATCTGTTATGATTTTTATCTATCTTTACATGATTTCTAAAACCAAAGTAGAGTCAGGTGAGCGACACAGGCTCTTGAGAGCCTCTAGTTATTTTATCACTGATGAAGTTTCCAAAAGAGAAACTTTATTTGTGTTTAAAAAAAGGCGAAAAGATTATAAAGGGCGGGACAATAACATATTATATTTTGAAGAATTAGAGAACACCATGGTCAAAAGAAGGCTGAATAGACGGTCCACAAAACGCTACACAAAAAACTAAAGACTGAGGAACACTAACCCCACCAAACACCAGGAATAAACTCAAGTGCTTAGGAAAAGTTCCTGTTCCAGTGGTGACATCCATTATTTGGCTTATAGCAAGTACAAACTTAGTGATGTCACAATAAAGGAACGAAGAAGAGGTATTATATTTTGTAGCAATTGTTCTGTTAAATTTTGTGCAATTTACCTCCTCCATCATTCACAGGAAAACCTTATACTGTAAACCAACTTATTTTCGCGAATACTTTATTTCGCGTTTTACCCTTTCTAAGTTACTACGCGGCTATTTAATTTTGCGATTTTTTTATTATCTTGGTGAAATTTAATAAGTCATGATCCGAGTTTTACATATTCGCGACGATATATATTCGCGTTATTTTTCTACTCGCGAAAGTAGCTAAAATAAATCGCTCGCAAAAATAAGTAGGTTTACAGTATTCAAACATTACAAAAGCACATTCATATGAAATCTTTTCATCACATAATATGGTTTTCAATATTTAAGAATAATTTACATTAAAATTATAGTGCTACAATTAAGATAGGCAAATAAATTTAGGTGGAATTACTCTCAATGGGTATTGTATGTTGTACTGCTAATTATTTCTCATGAGTAATAGAAGTGAGGTATATCACACTATATTTGGGTTATAACTAGGTACAACGTTGATTTCTTTGTTTTTGAACTGTTGCCTGTGTAAGGACTATTATCAATTGATACATGTAGCAAGTAGTGATGTGAATGTAGTTCTAATTATGTGTGTGGTTGGATAACACTATTTTTTGTAAGGGGTCAATTTAAGTTTAATTGGTTTAGTAAACCTGTCTATCCAGTATAAACTAATAAAGTATTTAGCAAGTAAATTACGAAGTATTATTACATACTGATAGATCTAATACACCTTGTTCTTCTATTTTAGGATTGAGTAATCAATAAAGGAAGTTTAACCCAACACATATGTACATCACAGAACCCTTGCAACAACTCTCTGATTGGTCTATAAGTGGCCTGTTTAATCCACCATTTTCTACATAAGAAAATGCCTGTACCAAGTCAGGAATATGACAGTTGTCCATTCGTTTGATGTGTTTTAGCTTTTGATTTTGCCATTTGATTAGGGACTTTCCGTTTTGAATTTTCCTCAGACTGCGGTATTTTTTTTATTTTACTTTTTGCATGGCAAAATCTGTGGCCCTTTATAACATTCCCTCAGTCCAAAGGTTCCAGTCTTGCAGGACCTACCTTTTCTTGTCCTGAATATGAATGCATGAACTATTATATATAGATTGATTCAGTGATTTTTGGTGTTTTTTTCACTGTCAGCTCATTAATGTGGTGGCAGAAGCTGGAGAGAACCATCAACCTTCAGCAGGAAAATTGTCAATCCTATTCAATCAAGATTGGCGTGGAATGCGTCTGCCAATCAAAACCGCAGCTAGTGAAACAGTAGATGAACTAATTAGGACACTTTTGCCACTGGATGTTGGGTTATACACAATCATTTAACCCTTTTATATTTTCACACAAGCATACATGTTTGGTTACATCTTCACTCATGAAAGGAGTCATCATTTGGTATCTGAAAATGTGAGTCCTTTCAAATGTATTTTTACTTTATGGATTAACGAACAGGTGAAAAAAATATGGTAAGTTCAGTGCAGAAAGTTTATTTGTGATGGCATAAACATGTCGAAATTAACATATTTATCACACCTTCTTCAGAACTGTCCACCTTGTAAATAGAAATGCAAGTCAATCTTGATAAAGGTATAATTTCTTGTTTGATTGTTCTACATACTGGAGTATTAAGTTTCTAAATGGTCTTTATAAAGGACAATAAGATTTTTAAAGGTATCCTACATGTAAGTGAAGGCCTTTTAAAATTAATAAGTAAATAAACTTAAACAAACTTTTATTGAAAAATGAATGAAAGACACATGTGTGAGACATATATTTACACAATCATGATTAAGGTTATCAAGTATCAAGTATTTTCATTAATGTATTTAAATACTGATGGTTAAATCTCAAGGTAAACAAAACATGGACAAGTTGATATATATATATAAGTACGTCTGAACCAGTGACAACTCTACAATAGATTTATCCATCGGATCACCAGCAGTGATGGTGATACATGGCTGTGTACATTCTGTATATATATATAGATGATAATTATTCTTTTATGATGAACCTTACGCTCTACTTATACAGGTATGTCTGTTTGCCAGTTCTTGTGAAACTGTAAATGAATGCATTTAAGCACACCAAGTACAAATTAAAGTAATTGCATACACATTAAACGAAAAATAACACTATTGAATTTATGACAAGTACATTATAAGTATTAAAATTTTGCTACATTTCAGCAGTGGTCTGCGTTATAACTATAATGTTAAAACAATGGTAATACACAATTATTAAGTTTGTATTGACTCCAAATAAACCTTATTTAATAATTGCAATGAAAGGATCAAAATGTTTGTCTCTAAAGAATAATACAAATCATTGAGATGTGAAATATTGGCGATGTTGTCTTCCTGTTTGTGGATGTTGCTTATACCCTTAATTATGCACCTTTAGACCCAAGTAACATGGTTGTAGGTCATTTAGTATCCGAGGTTTGATGTGATGTCGTACATAACACTTAAAATAAGTCAGTGCAGACTAAATTAAAACCTCAACTTCCTTGAATCAAGCCGAAAATTACATATGTTTTTGAAGGCGAAAATATTGCAGTGACATGACAAAAATCATTGTTGATTATAAGGAAGTATCTGACATTTGGCTTGTGTTCGGAGCTGTATCTGATAACTCTTTCATTTCCAGTTTATGCATAGACAATGTGCTGGCAGTAAACTGAGCTGTTTCGATAAACATTTTTTTATAATTGGTTTCCAGATCAGAATCTGCATTACTAGCAGTCTCATGTGAAGAGGTACATCTCTTTTGTCCCTTTTGTAACTTTGTTCTCAGCTTTTCAGCTTCATCTGAAATGATAATATACATGTCATGTCCAAAACGTGTTCGATTCCCCCAAACGTGTCCACATGAAGTCACTGAACTGCAAAACATGTCTTACGGCGCCAAAGCTTGTCATTTGTATGAACGCTCGAACGTGCCTAATCCCCCAAACGTGTCCATATCAAGCTTAACTTGTTTTCTTTTACTGAATGATCATTTGTTTCCATATTATAAATACTTCCGTTATTTGGTTATTGCTATTTCATTAGCGTATATTCATTTTACTATTTTATTAAAAAGTAGAAATAAAGTACTTTAGGTCTTTTTTAAACCGGCAGTATAAGTGTGGCTTCTAATCAGCTATGATGGATGTAAATGTAAGCAGTCACACTCAGTTCAATTGTGGATATTAAATCAGATACCTCGTGTAAGGAGAATATCCCATTCCCTGCAGATTAAAACCTTTCTAACAACTCTTTCATGGTGCCATCAGTTGTATTTCGGAAGGCACCATTTTTGTCCTGATTCATTTTTGTTCTAGTGGCAGTTATAATTTCCGCAATTTTTATTTAAAACGACCTCTATTACATAACGGATATTGGAGTAGTGTCTTACTGAAGTCATAAACTGGTTATCAGATTTATTTATATATGATTTAATAGTTAATTCATATGTTACAGATTAAATTTGCAATTATGATAATAGTTAACAATGACCACTTCATCAACTGTGTCCCCCATCATAGAATTGCCGTAAACGTTATTGATTTCATTTTGGACATACATGTATTAGCGCTAAAAGACGTGAGACGTTTTGGCGAATAACAATTATCGGACACGTTTGGGGGTTATGAAATCGGACACGTTTGGGCGATAATGAATATTAAGGACTCGTTTTGGGGGGAATAGACACGTTGGAGGGAATCGGACACGTTGGAGGGGATGGACACGTTTGGAAGTGTTACATACATAAATTGCATTCCATTGAAAAATGTACAAAAATAGCCTTTTTTTTTCAGTTGATGTGTGCTATATAAAACATGATAGAGGATCAATCAATTAAAAGTATCAATGCATGTTGCCTATAGCTCCCTTCCTAGCAATGAAGACTTTTTTTACTTGCATAGATGTTTTGAATGTAAAATTTAGAAAATCATCTTTGCAATGATTTTATTGAAACAACTTCTAGATAATTAATTTCTGTTACAATTCTACTCCTTGGTCGGGTTATTGTCTCTTTGACACATTCCCCATTTCCATTCTCATTTTCATTTCTGTTGATGCAGTTGTAAACCAAATGTTGATATCCCCCTATTCTTATTGAAATATTTGTTAAATCAAATTTGAATAAATTTCATAGCTCACCTTGTATGACACTCTTCTCTAGGTCTCTCAGTTTGTAAACAAGGTCCATAGGTCTCTTGTTTTTCATCCAGAGCTCCAACCAGCGAGTACAAGCATTAGCAAGTTCATCTGATGTAAGTCTCTCACCTAACGGATGATTACCAACATCGCCAAAGGCACCATATATCTTTTCAGGTCGTGCCACTGAAACAAAATGTCCATATATTAAGAAGTGGTTCATGTAAAAGTTTTGGATTGGAGTAGATTTCTGACATGAAAATTTAAAAAAAAGAGACCCCATTTATATATACTTGATTGATTCCTCGATGGCAAAGGACGACAAATTAAATAACATACAATAGTATTGTGTACCAGGAGTTGCTCCATGGTTTACTTGAGAGGAAAAAAAAGGTTTCAAGTATAGTTTTAACTAGATTGCTGGTTTTGATTTCCAACCTGTATCTTACCGTATTTCACCGCCAGACATTTTGATAACTCTCTCCCCAACTTAGGAACCACTTTATCTGAAGTTTTGTATTTCATAGCATCAGCTGCTTCTAGAATGAAATCATCTGTAATTGTGTCCTGTTTTACTCGGGTAACAAGACTTTTGACATCGGTTATCTTTTCTATTAACATTTTCATGTTTGTGTCATCTGTAGACTGTATCAGCTCCAACTTTGCATCAATGTTGGATAAAATACTCTGGAAAAATAAAACTTCTCTTAAAAATGAGTACAGACATAACTAGAGATCTACTATTACTGCTTAATTGTTTGTAACTTTTATATAACTCGTTCCTTCTGTTGGTTATACTTGACGATAATCAGTATCAACAGTTGTGTTCTGTGTAATCATTACTGCAGTGGTCCAACTACAGTCTTTTTTCACACTTGCCTCCCGCATCAAGTGTTTCTTTGTTTTGATAAAAAAAGAAAATTCTAATGCAACATTGTTTTTAACGTTCATTTTGATTGGATAACGTCACCAATTTTCATGGCATCAATTGATGCTATGAAAACGTACGCACAAGCGCAGAAGACGTATGACAGATTTCAAATGTAGGATCTGACATTGTTTTCTGTCAGTTTTATTAGAATGAAAATAATAATATTGTATTTTAAGCTCCGACGCCATCAATTGGTGATTTTATGGTCGCAAATACCCGTTTACTGGCTCCTCTAACGCAACGCCAGTAAATTTAATTTGCGACCATCAAATCACCAATTGATGCCGTCGGAGCTTGAAATACAATACAGTTATCTCCTAAATAGATATTTTCTTGTTCGAGACATTTATGACTTACAAGTATATTGGTTGGTTATAAACTTCTCAATATCATTCCATTTAAATCATCTGATTTGCAGGATATGTTCGTCTTTTCTGTCTGTCAATCTACATTGATAAGCGGAAGCATTAATTATGATGAAGCGTTTTGTCTACATAAGACTTACCATTGACGCTCGAATCAAAACAGACAAAAGGCCAAATTAAATACAATGTAAAAGAGCATTTAAAACCGGATAGACCAAAAATGTAATGCCAAATAAGGCTAAGGTAAGGTAGAAAAACCAAGCGTTTGGAATATTCAATATTTTATAAGCAATTATTTATATATATAATAACAGTTGATATCCATTCATTTGATGTGTTTGAGCTTTTGATTTTGCTTTTTGATCAAGAACTTTCCGTTTTGAATTTTCCTCGGAGTTCGGTATTTTTGTTATTTTACATTTTATATTTGTTTGTTTTTATAGAGATTAAGATTAAAACACAATGTTGACTGCTGTACCCCTATTTTTGACATTTTTACCAATTAAAAATAAGTATGATGTGGTAAGAGTGCCAATGTATCAACTCTCCATCCAAGTAACAATGTATCAAAGTTAACAATTGCCTGTTTGTTTTGTTCACACATAGTTGTCAATATTTATGGAATTTTATGCGACTGGCATACAAGTAGTTAAAACCAGGTTTAAAAAAAGTAAAATAACAAAAATACCGAACTCAGAGGAAAATTCAAAACGGAAAGTCCCTAATCAAAAGGCAAATTTAAAAGCTCAAACACATCAAACGATTGGATAACAACTGTCATTTTCCTGACTTGGTACAGGCATTTTTTATGTAGAAAATGGTGGATTAAACCTGGTTTTATAGCTAGATAAACCTCTCACTTCTATGACAGTCGCATAAAATTCCATTATATTTACTACAATGCGTGAACAAAACAAACAGGCATAAAAGGTAAAAATGTCAAAAATATGGGTGCAGCAGTCATTGTGTTATAATCTTAATCACGATACAAACAAACAAATATGTCAACAAAGAAATACAAAAAGGCACATAGACAAAACACATTAGCAAAAACGAAAGACAAGAATACAAAACTTTATCACAGTACATTAACACAATGACGAAATGTATAAGTACCGAGCCACGTCAAATGGATATTACCAAAAAATATACTAAACAGCTAAAGTAATAATTTACAAAGACAAATAAAAGAACATTATAACACGTAATTAAGATGATAAACAACGTGAGTACCTCGAATCTATACTTCAAGACCATTCGTGTATTATTTGTGAAGTTGATAAGGAATATTTATCAACAAGGTCTTGGTATCTTCCGATGAACTTTTTTTCGAAAAAAGACAAGACGTTCTTTGACATAACCATGAGAACCCTGGTTCATCAACTTTCTACTCTGACCCTGGTGACGTTTTACTAAGTCTGAGTAGCAACTACAAGCTGTTGAATATCAAATGAATCGGGTTATCCCATATGCAGGTGAAGATGGTATATTGCTACTCAGGTGGGGGAAATTGATGATTTCAAAATTGAAATCGTCTCGTTTGTCAGATTTTGGTACTGATCGAGATGACCGATTATGTCAAATTCGAGGTATAAGTCTAAAAATGAGGCAGAGGAAGCCGTGTCTGTTGTTTCTTTAATTTTTAGTTCTAAAGGATATATTAATAGAACCCAATCAGAAAAGTTTGGATTGTTAATGAAAAGAACATCAATATATCTGAATGTGAACTTAAATGATCTGGCTTCTTTGATCTTCCAGCATTTTCTACTTAAGAAAATGCCTGCACCAAGTCAGGAATATGACAGTTGTTTTCCATTCGTTTGATGTGCTCGAGCTTTTGATTTTGCCATTTGATAAGGGACTTCAAGTTCTGTCAAATTGTGTGGTATGTTTTTTACTCATTGTTGAAGGCAGTACGGTGACCTATAGTTGTTAATTTCTGTGACATTTCTTCTCTTGTGGAGAGTTGTCTCATTGGCAATCATACCACATCTTCTTATGTTTATAAGACAACCTTCAACATTTCATCAACAGTAGATTTACAGAAAAGGTGGCATATAAGCAATTCCTATTTATAAAGCATTTCTAGTGATGTCTTTAATCCGTCATCTATTCTTTTAGTGATCCTTGATGTGATATAAAAGAGGGGCGAAAGATACCAGAGGACAGTCAAACTCATAGATCGAAAATAAACTGACAACGCCATGGCTAAAAAATAACCTTGTTTCTATTATGAACTAAAAAGTGGGGGTTCTGGCGACTTAACCTAGTTTCTATATGGGGATTCTGGTGACGTTTGGTAATGTTAACCCTATGGGGAAAAGGCAGCTCCCCAATGTGAGGCTAATTCTATGACGTCATACTCACCTAGTATGAGACTAATTTAAAAAAAAATCAATTAATTTCTTTGGATAACTTCGTTATTAAGTGTCACTAATGACAGCTAATTAGTTAAGTTAACCTATTTTTATAATGTTTACAAAGAAGTGAAAATCCCTGGCCTATTTATATATATCGGAAAAACCCATCTACAAATATTTATTCACCTACGGCTATAAAACCGATTAAGCTGTATACTTTAATATAACAACATAATTGTTTAATCAATATTGAAAGCGTGTTTAAACTTGTCATTATTGTACGAAATGACCTTTAACATGTTTAGACGTCTCAATAATCCGTTTAAAGGGAAATGGGGGGTTCTGGCGACTTTTTGTTAATGTTAACCCTCTAGGGAAAAGGTAGCCTCCCGGTGTGAGTCTAATTCTATGCTATTATGAGACTAATTAAAAAAATCAATTAATTTCTTTGGATAACTTCACCATCAAGTGTTACTAATTACGGAAAATAGTTAAGTTAACCTATTTTTACAATGTTTACAAAGAAGCGGAAATCCCCGGCCTATTTATAGATATCGGAAAACCCATCTGGAACAAAATGCCACTGTGCCACCTGTAGGTGGCATGGTAGTATTTCCTGGCCCAAAGGGATAATGATAGCCTTTTTAAATTTTCACCACTTTCTAACACTGCCAAAAATTCTACATATACAGTTAACTGATGTACTTTCATTACAATATTCAGAAATGAACTTGAATATGTATCATGACCGTTTACTTTTTTAGCTATCTTTAAAACCATAAGGCCACTAGTGCTTTTAGGTCTTTTATCATGCAGTGAATTCAAAATTTAAAAAAATTTCAAAATCATTTTCACCTGTATGTAAAATTATTTCATATTTTTCTACACCTGATTCATCCCTCAGTTTGGGTAAGTATGTTCAGTTGATACTGTATTGTTGTCCAATCACACTGTTCAGATACATTGACTAAAGGAGGGTACACAAAAGAGCAACCTAAATTCCGGAATGCAAATACTACCGTGCCACCTTAACAAAGACTTCACAAACTTGAAACCAGTCATGTATGATGCATAGACTTCTTACTAGGAAACATATTACAATAAAGAATATTATTCTGCATTTATTTCTTACCAAAAAAAAAAATAAAAGATTATACCCCTACCCCAGCTGGCAGATTTTCGCTTTTTTTTCATCTTACCATTTTTACTTAAGGAGTGAACTATATCCAAATATATGAAGCTTCAAATCAACACAGAAGTAAAACATGGTGATTCGGGTGGAATTATTGGATTGCCAACTCTATTTCTAGTTAATCTGACTGAAAGAAACAGTTGAAGTACCAAATCATGAAAAATGATAGTAGAGTCCATTCCACATTTTACAGCATGCCTTTCATTTCTTTAAGCATTTCCAGATTATGAAGGCAATATAACATGATTCTTTAGATGGCAGTTAACTATTAATCTAAAATCTTTTTGACAATACATGTACTAGAATATATCTCTAAGTTTACTGTTTGTCTATAACTCATGTATGCATTAAGTTAAATTATGTCCCCTTACATAATCAATTTACCTTTCTTGTGCTTTTCAGGGTCATAAAATCAAAACAATTCATGACATTTGCATGGAAAAAGAAAAAACTATTTAATCTTGCTGATATACAATCATAATCACATTCTTTGACCAAAAAATTGTTTTGTCAATGTAAAGAAACCTCTAATTCTATCTCTATTTCAGCTAAATATTTGGGCTAAATGAATAAGTAAGAACCCCTTAACCACTTGCTGGTTCAAAAAAAGCTCATACTGGTGTCATGTTACCACAGAACTACACATTAAACCTGAAGAAAACTAATATAGCTGTACTTGTGTGGAAAAAAATAAGAAATTATGCACTTTATTTATTTCGGTGAAAATTATAGGACGTAAAGGCAACTAAAATATGTCGCGTCTCAAACTCCAGTTGTTGCACATGTGTCAGACACTGCGAAAAGTTAAAGCCAGCATTTTTAATTAAAAATGTATTGCATGTTACATAGAAATTATGAACTTCTACTTTCTAGGTAAATTTTTACATTATTACCCACAGATCAGGCAAAATATGCTGAATCAGCAATTTTCACTCCTAGAGGCGGAATTTAAGGGCTGTTTTTATTCTAGTTGCCGTTAATCAACTTTTTAATGATCAACTTACAAATTGAATAGGTAAAAAAAATTCTTTATTGATCTATTGATAACATATATATCCCAGTTAAGGTGGCACGGTAGTATTTCCTGGCCCATAGGGATAATGATAGCCTTTTTAAAATTTTCACCACTTTTCTAACACTGTCAAAAATTTTACATACACAGTTAACTGATGTACTTTCATTATAATATTCAGAAATGAATTTGAATATGTATCATGACCGGATACTTTTTTTGCTATCTTTAAAACCCTAAGGCCACTAGTGCTTTTAGGTCTTTTATCATGCAGTGAATACAAAATTCTCAAAAATTCTCAAAAATTCATTTTCACCTGTTTGTAAAATTATTTCATATTTTTCTACACCTGATTCATCCCTCAGTTTGGGTAAGTATGTTCAGTTGATACTGTATTTTTTGTCCAATCACACTGTTCAGATACATTGACTTCAGTAGGGTACACAAAAGAGCAACCTAAATTCCGGAATGCAAATAATACCGTGCCACCTTAAATGTGGTATTTTCAAGAAAAGACAACTTCAAACGTCATAAGCGAAACCATGGTAAACAACCAGTCTAAAATGGTGGTGGTGTTACCATGACCTAAAAAGACGAATGCAAACAACTTCAAAGCGCTTAATGGAACCGTTGTAACATATAAAATCGGAGCAATATGATTGAATAAATTCGATCCGATAGCATTCCTGAAAAGTCAATATCATGATGTTAAAGATGTTATGAAGCGTAAAATAAAAGAAAGAGGTGGTATCTATCCATGAAGGTTAAAATAAGCACATTTTTGCTTGATAAAGGAATTTTGATGTGGTTATTAGGTGACCAGCAAAGACACCGTAAACGATATTTTTACTCTCCCTATTGTCTGCACGGATTTACAAAAGAAAGACTTTTGAACGATCATTTATTAAACTGCCAAACCCACGGACCCCAGAAAATTAAATATGTGTTTAAATTACAAAGTTATACGCAAACAGTTTAAGGTACCATACATTATCTATTCAGATTTTGATTGTCTTCAAGAACCATTCCTGGATAACAACGAGAAAGTCAAAAGACGAAAGACTACCAAACACATACCATGTGGCTTTGCTTTAAAAATGGTAGATCTAAGACCTGATAGGAGAATATGGATCAGTTTTTGACCAGATATAGCAGTTTGGTTCAGCATCTTATAAAACTACAAAATGGTAAATTGCACGGCAAGGTTATGAAAAAGATCACAGAACTAGTTAACGATGACATGGAATACGAGAAAGCTATCATAGTATCTATCAGGAAATATAAAGCTGTGTTCGAAAGCTATCTAGATGAAGCTATTGACACATAAACTAATGATGATAGTACTGAAAGCGAAGATAGTAAAGATGATGATAATTATGATGATGATGAGGAGGAGGAGGAGGATGTTGACGATGAAAGCTAAACTGTATAAATATGAGGACGTTTTACTCTGTATGTCATACTATATTAATCATTCTATGTGTACAGATGGCCTCTTGGGAAAAGTACTTGAGTATTTATTACAATCCAGCTAACCCAGTGAGTTTTTCATGGCCTGATAAACTTTCAGTCCTCACTTAATATAGAATACGAAAATGGCTACAACATACAGCTTGCAAAGACATTTAAAAAGGTCGTTTAAGCGGAACAAAGTTATCGTTATTGGAATAGACGATCAATGGGATATCGATTTAATAGACATGTCTAAATTTTCGAAATCTAACAGTGGATTAAATTACATATCATTGGTGGTTGATATATTCTCCAAAAATGTATGGCTAAGGCCTCTAAAGGATAAGAAAGGTGAATCTGTGGCGAATGCTTTGAAACATGTCTTATCAGAAGGAAGATCACCAAACAGAATAAGAATATATAAAGGACAAGAATTCAGATCAAGATTAGTAGAAGCTCTTCTGAAACAGAGAAATAATCAACATCTATTTGCCCAAAATACGGGTATCAAAGCTAATTACGTAGAAAGAGTGATCAAGATTATAAAATAAAAAAATCATGAGATGCATCACCAGTAAGCAATCTTATGATTATGTGGATAACTTTCAGAACTAACAGTTACAACAACACCTTCCATAGAACGATTGGCATGACGCCAGATAATGTCTCTCAGTCTAAAGAGACCAATTTGTGGTGGAAAATGTATTGGCCAACAAGAGTTCAACCTTAGACAAAGAATTTACGAAAACCTTTTGGTTTCAAAATTGGTGATAAAGTTTGGATTACATACACAAGAAATCAATTTACTAAGGAATACGATGAGAGGTGGAGCGGAGAGATATTTTAAAATATCTCAAAGAATATAACGTGGTGGACTCCCAATTTATAGATTTATTGATTTTCAAGGCGAAGAAATACCAGGGACCTTCTACCAATCAGACGTGCAGAAAGTGGATGTAAAGACGTTATTTGGGAAGTTGAAAATATTTTATAAAGGACCCAACAAGCAATATTATACGAAATGGCTACACTGGCCAAAAAAATTCAACTCTTGGATTAAAGCTCGCGATTTTCTGATATTTGAGAGAGTTAATTATCCCGGAAAGACTAACATGAAGTCTCGACAGTTAACGACCCTGCACGAAAGATAGCATACTGTTGGCCATTTCGTGAGGTTAAAGATACTGTTCATTGATAGATGATTCTCTAATTCTTTTATCTAGATGTAAAAACTGGTTAAAGTGAATTTTTTATATTGTAAAGACACTATGTGGATGGCTCTCCGACCTATGTCTGTCTAATTGACGGGGATATTAAATATTATATTAATCTAGAATGTTTGTTATTTAACTATGTGCCTACTGAACAATAATTACATATAATACGAAAACAGTTCGTAGTACACTTGCATAACGTCACTTACCTACACATTTAATCGGCACAAATAAAACATAGAAAGATGATCAACATCTGTACATTACTCAATAACGCCAATTAATTAGCCGTAATTAGTAACACTTAATGATGAAGTTATCTGAAGAGATTAATTGAATTTTTTAATTTGTCTCATAATAGGTGATTATGACGTCATAGAATTATCCTCACATCGCACTACTCTGAAGTTTTTATACGACCGCAAAATTTGCAGTCATATAATGGTATGACGTTATTACTTCTGTTAGATTCAAACAATCGAAACGACTGCATCTGCCATGAAGGAGAACATATACCAAGGAGCTATCGAAAACCATAAGTTGAAGAAAAACGATATCCATGGCCAAACTGAGACAAATTTAAAAACAAAAACAAAAAACAAAATTCCACAGATCACAAATCCTACATAGTAACACGAACCTAACTAAAAACCGAGGTCGAAATCGGATGCAATGGGAAGAACAGCAGTTTTTGTGACATCATGGGCACCTGTCGTAATACTCGGGTCAAAATCTGCTGGTGCTTCTTGTATCGAAAAATAGGAAAATGTGCCTTACTTATCCGAAAAAGTTCTCATATGTTACAACTCTTCATTGTCAAGTTGCTGACCAAATATGAAGTCATTCGATTCAGCAGCATCGAGAAAAGTGCGAGTAAAGTATTTGTTAGACGACCGGACGGATGAACAAACCCTCTTGGGTATGGGTATAGTTTTGACATTTTCTTTGTTTTCCATCGTTATATGAATCAGATTATTCACTAATTGATCATTTTAAAAGCAAAGTCCAAGGTAGTGTTCTCATACAAGTGGTTGCGTTTCAATGACCCTATTTCCAAGGGAAAGCCGGTCTCAGCAAGTCGTTATCATTGTCATTCCACTAACTTATTTCTCGGTTACAGTTACCATTTTCTTTTTCTTGAAAGTTTGTAAAATCTCGGAGTATCATTTTGCAATATAAATTTCAATTGCTTCAATCAAGATTATTTCTATTGGTTTTCTTTATACATAAACCTTGATTTATGAGCAGCATTAACCAATGATAGTCCAATACACACAGTGCCTTTAGTTTATAGTTTAGATAAATATTATACTATTATTTATTATATTTTAATATGTTATCATACCTCTGTTGATTCCATTCTCCATTTAAGTTCTGCATGACTTTCTGCCACTTCTTTGAACTCGTCATTACATATTTTTATCAGGAAGTTTAATTTGTCTTTTAGTTTATGAGTATCTCCGTCCGTATTTAGCAGAATATTTCCATTCCCTATGATAATATTACTTCCAACCTTTTCTGTGAGAGTCAATGTCAATTCTTTGCTACAATCGAACATTTCATCCTTTAGCAGCTTTATTTGATCTTCTTTGTCTTGAATTACAGCTTCTAGCTCTTCTAATCTGTTGCCATAGTCAATGACTTGTTGCTGCAGTGCCCTTTTTCTAATACCCCTAATCCTGCCTGTTCTAAAAACTTTTGATAGACGTCCAAAAATTCCAGGATTTCTTCCATTTCGTGCACTTCGTTCATTTAATGTTTCATTCTGGCTACTGACAATAACAGACGAAGTTTGTTTTAGTCCCATTGTTCCTGGATCTAGAAGTTGAAAAAGGTCAATTTACTTTTATTTTCAAGTTTAGCTTCAAATACATCTAATTTTTTTATAAGAAGTCATTTAATTAATTAAGGATGGTCGCTTCTCTTTTTTTTGACTCTTTGTCAGAGTATTCGGAATCCTCTACTAGTATTTTTATCCTTAAAATTGAGAATGGAAATGGGGAATATGTCAAAGAGACAACAACCCGACCAAAGAGCAGACAACAGCCGAAGGCCACCAATGGGTCTTCAATGCAGAGATAAAATCCCTCACCCGGAGGTGGTCCTCAGCTGGACCCTAAATAAAATTGTGTGCTAGTTCAGTGAAAATGGACGTCACACTAAACTCCAAAACATATAAATGAACTAAAATTAAAAAACATACAAGACTAACAAAGGCCAGAGGCTCCTGACTTAGGACAGGCGCAAACATGCGGCGGGGTTAAACATGTTTTGTGAGATCTCAACCCTCCCCCTATACCTCTAGTCAATGTAGAAAAAAGAAACACATAGCAAGTAGTGCAATAAAAATGTTTTGCCCGCTAATCCCTACTTTTCTTTTTATAATTTCACCACATATCGTTTAAAAAGTCATTTGTACTTGATTTTCATATGATGAAGACATAATCTTTCAATCAGTTTAATTGAAGCATTAGGCTGGAATGTCAATAACTGCTAGTCGTCCTCTGTTAATTTATGCATCATTGTCATTTTTCTTAGTTTCTTTTGTTACCTATTCTAACATCGGACTTCTTTTAAACTGAGTTTTTCTGTGCGTATTGCTGTGCGTTTGTTAATTCTACATTGGCTAGAGGAATAGGGGGAGGGTTGAGATCTCACATAACATGTTTAACCCCGCCGCATTTTTGCGCCTGTCCCAAGTCAGGAGCCTCTGGCCTTTGTTAGTCTTGTATGTTTTTTTAGTTTTAGTTCATTTATATATTTTGTAATTTAGTATGACGTTCATTTTCACTGAACTAGTACACATTTTTATTTAGGGGCAAGCTGAAGCCCTCCTCCGGGTGCAGGATTTTCTCGCTGTGTTGAAAACCCGTTGGTGGCCTTGGGCTGTTTTTTGCTTTTTGGTCGGAATGTTGTCTCTTTGACACATTCCTCATTTCCATTCTCAATTTTATTTTACAAAATATCAAAGAATCCTTGTTATTTCTCCATAGTTTTTGAAAGAACAAATATACCAATTTTAAATGTTTGAAAAATCTAGAGAGAATCATTTCCTGCCAAATTTTCAATTGACCCTACCTCAAAAACAAGAACACGGACCTTTCATATTTTTCTATTTTTTAAGTTCCGTTATTTGTATGCTTTCAAGTGATAACAGTCTTTTAAAAAGTTGTTATTTTGAAACAGTGCAGTTAGTAATAGTTGGGTTGGTGCGCTGGGTAAGTTCTGTGACTTTATCGCATTGTTGCGTCATCCATCGGAAGTGACGTTATACAGCCATGGACCGGAAATAAGTGTACCGCATGATGTCACCATACTTGTCGTCACGCATGCGCAATAAAATTTCCTGTCAAGTGTGACACTCATTACCGGTCTTTTAATGTATGACATCACTTCTTGTGGATGACTTGACAATGCAATGGCGTCACGGAACCTCCCCTGAACTGTCCCCTTAAACTTCTCACTTCCCCCCAAAAACAGGCAGGGTAAATTTTTCAAAGCAACTGATTATGAACTTGCATATTTAAGAGTGTAGTTTAAACGAAATTGAATATCAAGGCAAGCTGCTTACATCCAGTTCCTTTGATCTATGATGGATAACGTGGGGTACCCAAATTGCACCTATTTTGACAGTTTTTCCACCTGTATTTATGATCCAGACAAAAAATTTTCCATTTTGTGTTTATTTTGTAGATGTATCCTTATTTACTATATGGTTCCATCAGTTTGATTTTTAATCCATATTGAATCATAGAAAAATGGGTTTGAACCGACCTCCAAACGATCCATGATTCTGTAACGAAAATACTCAAATTGCATCCATGCTTAAATTCACATCCTTAAAAATCGAATAACAGGTGTTTTGTTTTATTTCTTCAAATATTTAGAACAATTTGACATTAGTCCATGCTTGCTATTCATTTTTTTAAGAAATGGATGCTCGTAACATATTTGATTTGCTAATTTTTAAAAGATGGCTTTTTGTGGACGTCGCATGGCGCATTTCCGAAGATTTTACTTTTTCCAGAGAATACTTCATCTGTTGATTTATACTGTAAACGTTTTGTGAATATTTAAATATATTCATCTATTTGAAAGACGTGCATAATGTCAAATAAAAAAAAAAAATTGTTTAGTCCATAAGAAAACTTGTATGATTTTCGCTGCTATTTTTGCTAAATTGGTGCTATTTGGGTACTCGATGCAATTTGGGTACTGTGACGTTAGCTATTTCCGCAGCAATCATACCACATTTCCTTATTTTTATTGAAACAACACCAGAAACAGATTTATTATGTTTTTATTTTTTTCGTCTTTATGTTTCTTGTATAAAGTACATCTTCTCATACACAGAAACGAAATTCAATGAATGAATCCTTGTATACTAGTAGTGCAAGTACACCGTATTCAATGTGCAATGAGAAAGATAATTGTAGCAGAAACTTTTAAAAGGGGTCTTATTCTACATCTGTGATTTGTGAAGGATCAACAACAAATTAAAGGATATTTACATTAAAGCACAGGATAAAAACTTGACTTGCACTATTCACATGATGTATCTAAACTTTATTAAATACATAGAATAATCAGTAAGTACATGTATATCAATGAAGGCTAATTGATCTATACATATTGCCTGTTATTCAAAGGATAATAAAAACACGAAGCAAACTTACCTTATCAAGACCACGACTTAATTAAACTTTGATCCCGTGGCCATATTGTAACAGCTTTTTATGCTTATAATAAAAATAGAACCTAGTAAGACGCTATCGATCAGGTCTGTTCAATATGTTTATATTTGATTTAAATGATTCGGTTTAAATTGTTAACATATATATGTATATAATTTAATTTTGGATGTAACGCGTCTTGTGATTGGCTGACGTTGTTTTGTTTATCAGCTCATAGACATAATTTTGTCATGTGACCGTGACGTCATCAACGTTTTTTCATGGTTTACTACGGTTTAAAATGGAATTTAGAATTAAATTATAAGAAATGACTGTAACATTTTTTCTGTCTATTCGAAATAACATAAAAAATGTGGTACACACTTTAAAATAACCCGCTACGCGGGTTATTCAGTGTGCACCACATTTTTAATGTTATTTCTTCATAGACAGAAAAAATATTACAGTCATTCCTTAAATATATATAAAATAATCCCCTTTTGTATGTCAAAATCCTATGAACTTGTAGGTAAGGATGAAATAACTAATCGTTTCGTACTGTTTACATGTCAAAGACATTTAACGATTGCTCTATGTGAATCATATGTTTAAAATTTAATTCAAGAGAAACCCATACATGCGTTCTATTGTTTATTTAATAATTGAACGCTTCTTTTTTATTTCATTGATGTGTTAAGCATTGACCGAAGCACATATTGTATGAAGCGCTAACTTCTTACTTTACACTTTTTATATTTTTCGAATATGTCAACAGACAAAATTGCCATACACATCAAAATAGCAATGTCCTAATTTTTATATGAATTACATGAAATGATCGATAGTAATCAAATAAAAACAAATAAAGATATGTTTTATTGCTATATTATCAATGATAACACAACAAAAATGAGGAGGAAGTTTAAATAGAGACTGAACTATGTCTACAAGTGTTACTTAAAACGCTAACTCGTTAACTCATGCTGTACTTGCGGCATACTAACGTTGTTTTAAAATATATAAAGGCGCAAGACCATAGATACATTATATCATATCATATTGACATATGTTAACTCAACATTTGAATATCATTCGGTTGATAGCCAATTGTCTATTCATTTTCATCCCCACATCCAAGAAACTTATTTAGCCATGAACGGTCGATGATAACAAATTTATTGTTTAAAAACCTATGTCAAGGTACTTGTTTTACCAGAAGGTCAATTAATTGTATTGGAAAGACACAGTGTAGAACGCCACATGCGGTGTGTTGAGTGTAGAACGCCACATGCGGGGTGTTGGCTATGTTTGATACGGGGTGGCGATTTTGAAGCGGAGAAAAAGCGATTAAGATAAGTAAAAGTATCATTTTTTTTTTTTAGAATTGTTAGCACCAAATAATGTTTTGCACGGAAAGAACCGAAACATAATCTATTTACAGCTAGCAGAAGCAGACGTTTCAAGTGATTTCAAGTACATTGACATTGGTTTTTAAACAATAAATTTGTAATCATCAACCGTGCATGGCTAAATAGGTTTGTTCGATGTGGGGCTGAAAATGAAGAGACAATACTACATTTTGAACGTTTTTCTGTTTTATACATTTATATTTGAATTGTTTTAAAGTTATTTCCAAATTTTACCAAACATTTTTTTGTTTGTTACTGTATTGCCAAAATCCAAATGATTTGTTATTCGAACTTGTTATAAATCCTAAATACCAACCCCACCATTTATTAATTTTCTTCAATTTTTGAAATGCTTACCCTATTTCTTCACGAAAAACCACAAATCAGCCCAAATCTAATTAAAAACAAAACTTAATGGGACTAGAAATGTAGCATGTAATGACTTGAAAATCTAAAACCGTTCTTAATTTTTATAACTTCGGCTTGTTTAGACAAGTGGGCTTTCTACGAAATGTACAAAAAGGACATTGCCAAAAGTCAGCATTAAGCATTAAGGCATGCAACAAGTTTGGCCATCCAATAGAAATAAGAAGATGTGGCATGTGACAACTCTCCATCCAAGTCACAATGTGTAAAAAGCAAAAAATTAAGGTCAAAGTACGGCCTTCAACACGGAGCCTTGGCTCACACCGAACACCGAGTAAGCTATAAAGGGCCCCAAAATGACTAGTGTAAA